CGCCAACCGTAGGAATTCGGTATTTATAATTTACATTCTTTCCCATACTCCGCTGTGTTTCAGATGTGACGAGCCGAGGTTTATGGCCCCACCAGATTGTAAATCACATTCCTGAGGGCACAGGGAGCTGCTCCAGGGGTGAGGCACTGCCTCTGGACAGTCTGTAGAACGCCTCCAAACGTCAGGAAGAGGACCCACATGGAGACGGACCTGAGCTCAAGTGACGGCACCTCAACTCATCGGAGGCCCCAGAAACAGAGGGATGTGGAGGCCAGAGCCTGGGTTGGCACAAACAGGAGAGACACTCCGGGTGGACGGCAGTCGCTCCCTTCCACGGCGCTGGCAAGCAGCCGGTCACGCCCAGAGCCGGCATCTGCAGAGTGGCTTGGGGCTTAGCCACTTCTGAGAGTGCCAGCAGCTGAGATCAGGGTCTCCTTCCAGGGAGGGGGCGACAAAGGTGTGGGATGTCCCCCAGGAGCTGGCTCCTCACCCTCACCCCGCCCACTTGCCAGCTGCTCGGGCTGCCAGGAGGGAGGTGGGTGGGAACACCCGGGGGCTGAGGTCTGGCTGTGCACAAGATCAAGTTTGGAGAGAGCTTGGGCGCTGGGTTGATGTGCCCACCGTCTGCGGCTGTGTGCTCTGAGGTCAGGCACTCAACCTCTCCCTAGCTTCATGTTCCCGGGATGTGAGGACACCACCACCAGCTCATGGGCTCCACGCTCGCATCCGTGAGGGGCTGTCCATGGAGGGCCTCTGGGACATACACCCCACTCCCGCCCTGCCCAAATGTGGCTCCACCCTGCACTGGCTGGCGTCCAGCTCAGGAGCAGAGCAAGCTTTGCGCTACTGCAGCCACGAGGCAGACTCAGGGGCAAGGCGAGGGGGCTGCCAGGGCCCCAGCCAGGGATCTTTTGAAAGTTCTAGTCCCCCAGAGGCCTATGTCTGGGACGCCTGCGGGCAGCAGCACTAGTGGCCCTTGTCCCCCCACTCCTGGGCTGGACTTCATTCTAACTGAAGGTGGAGGAGCCTCAACGTTTTGAAAGCTGGAGACGTTCTTAAGCCTTTCCCAGGGAGCCCTGTAGAAGACCCAGCCTGTCCACAACGCACGCAGTGGGACTGGCCGGAATCAGGCAGGGCTCCGCACAGCCAGGCTGACAGCCGGATTCCCAGTACAGCGTGTTTCGCAAACCCTGCCTGCAATTTCACTCTGTAATTAGGGCTATTGTGTGTAGCCTTCAGATGTGAGGATGCAATATTTTGGTTCTTTAGTCTCCAATTTAAGAATTATTTTAAAGGCAGACAAACCTCATTTCCTGTTTTTAAAGCCCCATGAGTCCCCTTTACTCAGCATCCAGAAGGCAGCCCACGCCCCGCACCCTGGCCCAGTGCTCAGGGGGCTCTCAGCACACCCTCCACCATCGCAGGGCAGCTTCGGGACCTACAGTTGGCAGGCCCTGGGCTTGATGTCTTCAGAGCGTTCCAGTAACAACATACAAAACCTTAATAAACTGAACATCCAAGCATGAGGCTCGGTAGGTTAAAGAGGTGGGGTGGCTGCCTGCACCGGCTCCAAAGGCAAAGCCCTGGGGCAAATTCTCTTTTCTGAATGATGTTCCTGTGCTCCCCAGGGGTCGACTGGATGGATATACTGTCATCCTCTGCTTCAAGAGGGCAACAATGCTGGAAGCCTGGGAGCCCTGTTCCCTAGGACCAAGGGTGGGAAGCTTGCCGGCCACCCTCCTCTGTCCAGCAGAGGGTGCTGTCCACAGAAACAGGTCTTCAGCCAGAGTCTTGAAGTGGCCTAAGGCAGAAATTAAGCTCCTGATTCCTGGCTTTGGCCTGGCCCAGCCCCGGTCATTGCAGCCATTTGGAGAGTGAATCAGCCAATGAAGACCCTTCTCTCTCTCTAGGACCTTTCTCTCTCTCTGTCTCTCTCCCTCTGTCTCTACCTCTCTCTGCAACTCTGCCTTTCAAATAAATTTTTTTAAAAAATCTTATCTTTTAAAAATACTGTGACAGTTAAGTATCCTCATAGGCCAGGCAGCTTCACAATTCCACCCAGCAAGTTCCAAGGGAATATGAGGGTAGACAAAGTCACAGACAGAACTTCTGCAAGGGGCCAATGAACATCAGAGGTGAAGTTTTTTTTATAATTCAGAATTCCTAAAAGCTAAAAAAAATTCACTTTTTTCCCTTTTCTTTGGTAGACATCAATGACCAATTCTTTATTTTATAAGGAATTTTTAAAAATTAGAGAAGCAAAGATAGAAAGAGAGACACAGAAAGACCGCATGCTCTCATCTACTGCTTCACTCCCCAAATGTCCCCAACAGATGGGCAAGGCCAAAGTTGGGAGCCAGGAACTCAATCCAGGATGGGAATGCCAGGAAACTGACAACTTGAGCCTTCACTGGTGCCTCCTGGGGTTTGTGTTAGCAGGAAGCTAGAATCAGGAGCTGGAGGCAAGTTTCAAACGCAGACATCCTGATACTGGTGTAGATATCTTAATACTAAGCCAACCACCTGCCCACCAATTCCTTTAAATTCAAAGGTAGCAAAATAGCCATATTTATTTATTGCAGCAAATGCCAGAGTTCAATCTAAAAGCCATCACAATCTTTGCCTGTGATAGTCCTACCATCAGGTCTAGATTATAATGCGGTAAGGGGAAATGTTATAAAAATGTCATCATTACAGGTTTGCAGCAAGTGCAATTGGTCTCAGCGTTACCAGTGCTGGCCCTTGCAAAGAACAAATCTCAAATGCAATCCTCGAAACGTGCACACACACGCAGGGCAGAGGTTCTACGATGCAAGGAACACTGATAAACAGAGAGCTGGTCCTCCTTACATCCTGACTTCAGTCCTATAAACAGGAACTATACCTATCATGGTCATCCTTTACCTGTGGGATTTCTAGCTGTCATCACGCTAAGATTGATTAAAAAGAAAAAGGTGTCCCTGATAAAGACGGTGGTGGGCCCTGGAATTCCATAGCAGTCACTGAGCACAATCCAGAGTGTGGAAGTGAAGTGCCCTGTGTTTAAAGGGCTTACTTCCATCCGGCTTCCAACGGTGGTGTTTTCTGTCCCACTCTGCATGCGGCAGCCTCGTCATCTGTGTCCAGCCTATGTCTTTTCAGTCAGCTAAACGTGAGCTAAGTGCTCCCCTAAACACTGTGAACGGCCCAGGCTTGACGAAAAGAGGGCACCGCTGGGGGATGCTGCCCAGCACGTGGCTTCAGAGGCAAGACCGACAGGGCTGGGCCTCCTGTGTTCTGCAGCACGCTCTCTCTTCTTTCACCTGGGCAAGGACTTTATTCACGAGCTTCCTACAGACCCCTCCCACCCCACCCCACGGAAAACACGACTGGCATTTGTAGGCTGTCTTGCACCGTCAACATGTTTAAGTGGTCAATGAGATGTCGCAGCACTGCTGTGGGAGTAGTTCAGCCAAGGACCCTACCAATTGTGCAAACACACATAGGAAAAAGCATGGGAGGACTGGCAAGACCCAGAGTGACAGAAAGGGAAAGTACCTAACACTCAGTGCAGTGTTTCCTAAGGAGAAATAGACCCAGAACATTCTTCTTGCTTTATGCCTATAATGATCTCTTTTAAGAGACAGAGGTTTGCAAATGGGGAACTTGAGATAATTTACAGTCGATGACTTGGAATCAGGTTCTATTTCTATCCGAGTGAGCCCCATCCCCAGAGTCGCTGTAGGACACAGTTGGGAAAAGCAGGCCAAGTCCAGTGGTACAGTTTCCAGAGGGACTGGCAGCTGTGGGTCTGGCCAGCCATGGGAAGGCTGGTTTTGTAACCGCTGTAGTCAAGAGCTCTGATCGAAAGGGGAAAAAGAAAGTTTCAACTCAGAGAAAGAGCACGGACAGTAATCTGAAGACTTTCCCAGCTGTTTCCTACAAAGCCAGGGGGATAAACACTGTTTCTCACACTGTGCTCATCACATACGCCTCAGTAATATCAACTGTGGCACACGCTAAACAGTGCTGGCCTACATGCTGGCCTTGGAGAAAGGACATGGGCAGGCGTATCAGTGGACTGGACAGGCATTTCAGCACACCAGGCCCAGCTCTCCCCGCTCTCCCAGTGGTTACTTGGCACCACTGATGTGCCAGAGGCAGGGTGAGGAAGGAGGTGCAGAATATGATGCACCTGAGATGTATGTTCAGAAAAGCAGGGCACAGATGCAAACGAAACATACTCACTTAAGGGCATGCTTGTGAACTGCACCTCTGTTTTAAAAAAGCCTTTTTGAGGGGTTGTAGAGGCGCAGGCAGGTGTCTGAACCATGTACCTCTTAGCCTGTCTTCCACGTTCACACAGATGGGTGTGTCACGCAGCTGGGCTGCATGGCAAAGCTCAGAGCTCGGGCCCATTCCCTTCCTTGGGACATAGACCCAGCCACTGTGTGGCGTCGCCGCCACGACACGTCCGTCCGGCTGCAGGAGCAAGTTGGTGGGTGGCTCAGAACCACATGGTGGCTGAAAGCACAGGATGGGACCCCAGATTGGTGTAATTCAATTAACCCCTTCAACTTGGAATTCTTTCGCAGCCAAAGACAAACAGACGCTTCTAGGGCCAAAGATTTCCTTAAAGGGAGAAAAGACATTGACAGCTTTGTGCTCTGTGAAATGAGGGAACAAAAGGGCTGCTTTCAGTGGGTTTATATCTGTAAGCTAATCAACCAGGCACTGGCCACTTGTTGGATGGAAAACAAATCCCACTTGGTCACCATTATCACAGCAAAAAACAATGAGCATGTGTTCTCCCGTTAACTGTTTGGGAAGGTTAGGAACTGGACATATGCAGCTGAAAACCCTTTAAAATACCTATTATTTTGCTTTTTTTTCTCTTCACCATATAAAACAACCATATGTGCATATTATCCTAGAGTTTCTTGCAAAATACAGAGATTGCTTACAAACAATGGAAGACGCCAGTAAGACATAAAGAAATGAGCAGCTGATGGAGACAGACCTTTGACGGGCTTGCGCGTGTTTTATTGAAAACAGGAATCCATCAGAGGTGGTGAACTACCGGGGAGAGTGTTCCAGAGCATGGCACGCATGGAAGGTAATACTCACCAGCACCTCACACGGGACTAAAGACAGTGTCAGCTGTAACACACCAGGGAAGGAAAACAGAGCGAAGGTAAAAGGCACCTGGCTGGGGGAGGAGCCGTGGTGTTCACTGCCCCTGTCACAGGTTTGCTTTTGTGCATGGTGGGTCAGTCTGGACAAGTGACATTTGCAACGGAACGAAATGGGTTCGGATGTGAAGCTCAGGTTCCTATGCAGGCAGCCAACCCTTCCTCAGACTGCAGTGCACCTGCCGCGCGGCAGAAGGTCTTCAAAGGGGGGCTGAGGTTGCTAGACAGGAACGCAAGAGCGCTCCCCCTTCTCCTCTCTAGATTCAAGGAAGGGGAGCCCTCCCCCAGTTTCAACAGTGGCTTCTGAAGGCTCTTAAGCATCCTAAACTTAAAAACAGAAACAACAAAATAAAAGACAGAAAAATGGCCTGAACTTACACAAACCAATCATATGGAAAGGCAGATTCATAAAAATAAAAACCGGTGACCAGTCCATTAACCGTCCAGTTAACACCTTGTCTCAACGTAGGTGTTGAACGGCACCCACAACACAGAGCAGCCCGCAGCTGCCCTTGGCAACACTGAGTGAAGAGCTGCCTTGTCCGCCCAACACACGGCACTGTTCCCGGTGACTGTGTGCCAAGTGCTGAAGTTAGGGCAGACCCTAAATTGGCAAAGGACCCCAGGCAAAGATCCGCCTGCTGCGGCCAGGTCTTTGGGAAACAAGACTTAACGCTCTTCACACAATGACCCCCCCCACCGTTCCCGCTCCTCTTCTCGTTGGCTCTGCGCGTCCCGACCTCCTAACGGGGAGATCTAAACGAGTTCTGCTTCCCTCTCAGTTCTAGGCACTCTCTGGGACATCTTTGATTAACCAGGGTCTTTCATTTCTTTCCAACTCCGTTGGTGACTTTGGACTTGGAATGCCGATTCCGTCTTCTGGAAGAATGGCTCTCATTGTTGCCTGAATGCTTGGGTGGGCTGTCTTCAGAACCTGGCCAAAGGAACCAGAGCACACAGTCACCCTGGGCTGTGAGGCCTCTGGAGCTCGTGCCCGGATGTGTGGTCTCTAGTCTCGGTTGCCACAGGCCTGCCAGCTGACAGCGTGCTCTTCCCTGGTACATGCACTCCCTCTAGTGGCCTCCTCGGTACGTCAAGGCCAAGCGCATGGACACCCAGCACTAAAGTAAGGCAGCTGAGGGGCCTTGGTGTTTAACAGCCCCACGAAGCCTGGGTGCGTCTTGAAAAATGCGCTCAGCCCCCCTGGGTAGTGAACATGTGCTCGTGGGGATGAGGGAGGACTGGAAGTGGGAGAGCAAACAAGCGAGGCACAAACGAAGGACAACGAAAATGTGAGCCAACGGGCATCCTTCCCACCTCTGCAAGCCAAGGGTGCGTTCCCTGGGTCTCCACACCTTGACCCGGGACACGCCAGGGTTCCTAAGCCTTAAACTGGAAAGGATTCTTGACTTGTGGCATTAAAGAGGGTGCAGGGCCTCTATTCTTTGATCTCAAAGCCGTCTTTCCAAACCAGGCTTCTGCTGCCCTGACGTACAGACCGGGGGCTACACTGCAGCAGCAACATCGGGCTGGCTCTGACCTCACACTGGGGCTGGGGTCAAGCCCATGGGTTCCCTGCCCCTGGGCTCTGCCATGGAACATCTCCACCTAGGAGTCGCCTGTTAGTCCAAGGGGTTCTTTTGCTGGAGCCTTTTTCCCTTTCTTACCATTTTTTTTCTTTTTACTGATCCATTTAGCTCCACCACTGCTTAACTCTTTCCAACAGAGAAACTGGGGGTGCCAAGGCCTAGTCTGGAAGGGGCTGAGTCTACCTAACACAAGTCTGGGGAGCCCCATGGCCCCTCTTACCAGCATTCCACATTGGGACACCCACCCTCTCCTTGAATGGGGAGAAACCAGCCCCAAAGGGTGGCGGGGTACCTCAGCATGGTGCACACTGCTGCTTCCCGGGGCAGGGAGCTCCAAGCTTAACCCCAAAGGAACTCAGCAAAGCAACTTCTGAGCAACTCGGGCACACCAACTCGGGCACTCAGCACTGCCCCTGGCCGAGCTTCCCAATCAGCTTCCAAGAACTGACCGGGAGCCACTGGCCAAAGGAGCCTCCTTGGGGTCACTGGTGCACAGGCCTAGTGCTTTAAAATAACCACGTGACCCAGATCTCTTCCAAAATGCTCCCTGGGGCAATGCCTCTCCCCCTACTGCGCTGCCTCTTAAACCAGAGAGGCTTTTCCTCCTGGTGCACAATTCCCTCTGACGCTCTTCACTGGCAATGAAAGCCAAGAGGAAGCGCATCCCCACCAGGGGGCTCGGGACAGCGCAGGCCTTGGCAGGTTTTCTCGCCTTGGGAAAGGCAGGGCCACGCAGAACCTCGGCTTACAAAGCTGGCGTCTCGGGCAGACCCTGCGAGCGTTTTGTCTGTTTCTTAACGAGTGACAGGAGACGTGGGCTGAGCAGCTTGGAGCTCCCACGAGGCCTACAGGATAGACATTCAGAGGACAACACTCCGAGTCCCAGCCTCCTTAGTGGGCCTGCTGGGGCAGAGGAGCCAGGAACACTTTATAAACAGAGCAAGAAACAGGTACCTTTTGTACCTTTCCCGTGGTGCCAGGAGATGTCCGGGCTGTAGGTGCTGTCTTCACACTCTGAGTAGGTCTGGGGAGAGAGAGGCTTGGTGAGTGATGCTATTTCCAGAACTGCCCGGGAGGGAGCAGGGCTGGCAGGGTGGGGCAGTGTGGAGGAGCCGGCCCTGCCACGGGGCTGGGATCATCACGAGCAGGAGACAGAACCGCACGCTTCTGGTCTCTCAGCCAGAAACACAAGCCTCTTCTGCCAGCGGACGCAGAATCAACCTTCCAGAAACTGCCTTGCCATCCTTACGCTAAAATTACAAAGAATGGGCAAAAGCAATATTTTTACTTTAAAAAAAAAATACGGCTGGGAAGACGGCAGTGCCGGCATCCCATATGGTGTTAGTTTGTGTCCCAGATGCTCCACTTCCGATCCAGCTCCCAGCTAATGTGCCTGGGAAAGCAGCGGAAAATGGTCCAAGTTTTTGGGCCCCTACCACCCATGTGGGAGAACCAGAGGAAGTTCCAGGCTCCTGGCTTTGGCCTGGCCCAGCCCTTATCCTTGAGGCCAGAGATGGAAGGTCTCTCTCTCTCTTTCTCTGTATCTCCCTGTCTCTGAAACTCTTTCAAATAAATTAATAAATATTTTTAAAAAATGGGGACACTGTTGTTGCACAGTGGGTAAAGCCACCACCTCATCGCTGGCATTTCATACGGGTACCGGTTCATGTCCTGGCTGCTCCACTTCTGATCCACCTCCATGCTAATGGCCTGGGAAAAGTGGCAGAAGATGGTCCAAATGCTTGGGCCCCTGTACCCATGTGGGAGACCTGGAAGAAGCTCTGGCTCCTAGCTTTGGGCTGGCCTAACCCTGGCCATTGTAGCCATTTGGGGAGTGAACCAGCAGATGGAACATCTCTCTCTCTCCTTCTCTCTCTCTCTCCCTCTCTCTCTCTGTCTCTCCTTCTCTCTATATCTCTAACTTTGAAAGAAAGAAATCTTAAAAAAGAAAACAAAAAAGGAGGGTAAAAATATATTGTCTTCTGTTTTTTCCTTTCTGCCTTTCAAAAAAAACTGCTATTTTTTTTAAAGATTTTTTTTTTTCAATTTGGAAGGCAGAATTATAAAGAGAGAGAGAGAGAACTCTTCCATCCACTGGTTTACTACCCAAATGGCCAAATGGCTGGGGCTGGGCCAAATTGAAGGCAGGAGCCAAGAGCTTCTTCTGGTCTCCCACGTGGGTGCAGGGGCCCAAGCACTGGGGCTGTCTTCCGTTGCTTCCTCAGGCTTGTTAGCAGGGAGCCAGACTGGAAGTGGAGCATCCAGGACTCGAATCAGTGCCCATATGGAATGCCAGCATCACAGGAGGAGGCTTAACCTGCTATGCCACAACGCCAGCCCCATACAATAACTCCTTTAAAAAAGGAGTCAGGTGTTCGGTGCGGCAGGTAAGGATCGGACTGGGATGCCCTCATCCCGCACTGGAGTGCCTGGGTCAGGGTCCCAGCTCTGCTTCTACTTCCAGCCTCCTGCTAACATGCACCCAGGGAGGCAGCAGGTGATGGCTCAGGTACGTGGGTCCCTTCTTCCCATGTGGGAGACCTGGATGGAGTTCCCAGCCCCTGGCTTGGGCCTGGCCCACCTCCAGCTGATGCAAAACTTTAAGGAGTGGACCAGCAGCGGGGAGATGTCTCTGCTTCTCTGCCGTTCAAGTAAACAAAAATAACAAAATTAAAAAGAAAATACCGACAAACGGATGAGGGCAGTGACAAGCAGGGCAAGCATCCCGGCATGGGTAGGTTTCCCTAGTGGCCAGGCTGAAGGAGACCCACAAGCACAAGCTCCGGTGAGCATTTAAGGGGAGGCCAGCTCTGCCCACTTCCGTACCTTCTCCCGGTGGCCATAGTGCTCCGCGTACCAGACCATGCCGTACAGACACAGGAAGGTGGTGAAGGCCTGGAAGGAGGAGACAAGCACAGGGTCATTGAATGAATGGAGCTGAGCAAAAACCCAGCTCCCAGAACCTCAGGGTTCCCACTGGGAGCCGTCTGGGAAGGCATGACACGTTCCTGCCACCTGCCCACGGAGCTGGTTTCAAAAAGGCTGGGTGTGGCAGAGATGAGTCCCTGAGGGACGGCAGGGGCTGGAATGGGGGCACGAGCCCAGAGTTTTTGACAAGGGTGACCCTGAGACCACAGCCGCCACCTGTGACTCCGACAGCACTGTGGTGCGGAGGCGACAGCAGGAAACCCTTTTGTTACAACTCTGTGGTCCCATTAAAGAGGACTTGGGAGCCCCCACACCATTTGCGACTTTCCTGGTGGCTCCTCGTCCCCCTGCTGTGAGGGCTCAGGGTGGGGAAGAGTGTTCCCAAGCTCAGTCTGGGCCCCGGTGGCGCCTGCCGTGTCGTGGCACAGCTCGGTGGTGCACTGTTGCCCGTGCTGCCAAGGGCCCGGCCCTGACCTTAGCTCTTGTTGCTTTTGTTCTTCTTGTTTAAGTAGATAGGGAAATCAAGGGAAAATAAAAATGCTTGGTCAGGCGCCCAGGGAAATGAGAAGGCCTGATCCATGTGTGCCCAGGGACAGGGGCAACCTTGACCCCTGGTTTACACTGCCCACCTGCCTTGCGCCACCGCCTAAATGGTCCCGATTCAAGAAAAGACAAGTATATCCAGATACACCGCACACAGGATGGGGCTACATCCCCATCCACTCATTGTAAATTGGAAATGTGCTTTGTACCCCTAACCTATTGAATGTCCTCGCTTGGCGATGCAGTAGGGCGCTTGGCTATGTCCCCTTGCAGCCTGGCCGCCTGGCTCCCTGGGAGCTGTGCTGGCTGCCGCTGCCCAGCACGGGCAGGGAGGATCATACGGAGTAACACTAGCCTGGGAAAAGATCCACATTCAGATTCAGGTCCTTCTGGACCGTCCTCGCCAAGTTGAAAATCGTCGATGGGATCACGGTTGAGTTGAGGACCGTCTATACGAGAATCTGGAGTTTCAAAACATGTCAGGGAAAGCCCCTGAAAGCTGGGGAAAGTCTCGGGCTGCCACGGCTGAGTGCCAGTGGAGGGAGGGCGGAGGGTGTAAGAGAGCAGGCCAGGACCGGCGCCCAGCAACAGTCTGCACTAAGTGTACAGCGATGACTGAGCCGCCTGCTCCCTCAGGACACCTTGCTTTAGGGGCCCATTTACAGCAGGCGGTCCTGGCTGGCCAGCGCTGTCTCTCCCACTGTGTTTCCGGTGGCAATCTGGACACCTGTCATTTACCTGTCACCTCACCCCAAATCCAGGTGCAAACTGGCTGCATCTACAGAGATTCCAAAGATCAAATTGACCACCAGATAAATCAGCAACAAATGAATGTATTAGAGTTATAAAATGGAAATTACTTTTTTTAACCTTGAACATATTCTTAATATTTGGATAATTTCTTACATAAAATGTGCCATTTTTATGACATGGAGAGTTTACAGTGTGTAAGCCTCTCCCATGCATTGGGTTCTTTACAAAGAGCAAAACAGGCCTCCCTGAATTTCACACAGTGGGGCCGCATGGTTAGGGTCCCCCTCCTAAACCTGTGCTGGGGGGAGGGAAGCTGGTCACTGCACTAGACTGCCATTGTGAATTCTGACCACCAGAGGGCAGGCACCCAGGCTCTTCGGTTCTGCTCAGGCCCGGGAGGGCAGGAGTGGCCAGCTGTGGCTCCCTTCAGCAGCCAACAGCAGCAGGCAGAGCTGGCTTTGCAAGAGCCAGGCAAACACTGGCAGGTGGCAAGGACAGATGCTTATCGTCACAATCGCCACACAAAGGGCTCATCGGGCTGCCAAACCTCTCACTTCACCTGTGGGGAGAGAGGCCCATTTCACACTTGTCCCAGGAGACAAAAGCCAGCAATTTGAAGGTTTGCAATCGCACCTGCACCTGCTGAGAAAGCCAGAGCCCATACACACTTCCAATGTGCAGACTGCACCGAGAAAAGGAAAGGATGTGGGACAAGAGCCTGGCAGTCCATGACCAGCACGGGTGTGGCAGCAGGGAGGGCGGGGCCCTGGCTCAGCTTCCACATCATGGCAAGGAGCACTCACTACCCTGCTAACCAGGCTCTCTGCTTCCACCTTAACCTCCAGCTCGGTGCCCATCTCTCACCCAGCAAGGGGAACCATCAGGGGCTGTTTCTCTGTTGAATAAGTTCATACTCTCCTGGGTGTGAGACCCCTCCTGCTCTTTTAACAAAGGCCATGAAGAGGAAGAAATGCCAGGACCCATCTCCACCCTTCTCTGGTCAGTAAAGGGGCCAGGCAGCAGGGATCCCTGAGCCCGCCCAGCCAGAGTCTCATCAGGGGATTCTGTCTGTCTGCTGCTGCCCCAGCTTCTTGAGCACTGCCACTCCACGGAATGCATCCTCAGGCTGTGTCTCTTGCTGAGGTTCGCCCCTTACTCGGAACCTAATCCCAGCTTCAGCCGTGCCCTCCACATGGACAGCCAGGGCCTGAGTCTCTCGTCTCCACCGATGACCAAGATGGCCTGGAATCCCCAACGGAACAGGCTGCATCCCCTTATAAGCTGGAAAGTCCTTCAGAGCGCAACCCTCCTGACCCAAACTCACGTCCTGCTTCACCGGCCTTCTCCTACAACCCCCACTCCGAGTCTAGGAACCTTGGAGTCACCCTCGGGTCCCCTTCCAGCTACCACAGGGACAGTGGGGTCCCGCTGAGTGGACCTCTTAACCAACTCTCACAGCCAGTCCTTTCTCTGCATCCTCAGTGCCTGTGCCCTGGTGGAGCCTCAGTCACTGGTGACCAGGACCTGCCACACCCTCTGACTGCACCGCCCCTGCCAACTGCCTTCTAGACACCCCCACGCTCCAGGCTTCCTCTAGGAGACACAGGTCAGACCACCCTGTCTTCCCATGTGAGGGGTTGGGGGTGCAAACACACCCACGAAGCCCTCCCTAAGCAGTTGGCCCCATCTTCCTCCTCCTGCACGCAGTTCTCTTTACTCTCGCCCCTCAAACAGGTTGCCATCCTCCTGCACTCTGGGAACCCTGCACACGCTGGTCCCTGAGCCCGCCCAGTGTTTCCCGTGCACCAGGCACCATGCTCGAGACAGTGGGGAACACCAGGATGAATGAGACCTTCTCACTGTGAGCAAGAAGTGCAATGCTGAGGAGCCAGACAAAAGTCATCGCACTCGGGTCGGGACTCGCAGAGTTAATGCACCACGTGTGACCGGCCAGGAACAGGCAGTTACCCACCTGCCTTGGAGCTGGGGGTACTTCTCACGAGGGACAAGATTCTAAACTTGGTCTTGGGGGCTAAATTTCCCTAGGCAGGGATGGCAGGAAAAGTTTTCGGATCAAGTAAAGGATACATCAAAAGTCAATACAAGAGATACCTGGAAGGATGACTTGTTTAGGTAACTCAGCAGTTTGGTGCAGCTCACATGTGGAGTATGAGTGTGGATGGATTTGATGGAGTGTTCCAGAAAACAAAGGCCCTAAACACATAAGCAAGACTTCCCAGGTCGGTGCTGTGGCTCAATAGGCTAATCCCCCGCCTGCGGCGCTGGCACACCGGGTTCTAGTCCCAGTTGCCCCTCTTCCAGGCCAGCTCTCTGCTGTGGCCCAGGAAGGCAGTGGAGGATGGCCCAAGTGCTTGGGCCCTGCACCCCATGGGAGACCAGGAGAAGCACCTGGCTCCTGCCTTCGGATCAGCGCGGTGCGCCGGCCGCAGCACACCGGCTGCCGCAGCCATTGAGGGTGAACCAACGGCAAAAGGAAGACCTTTCTCTCTGTCTCTCTCTCTCGCTGTCCACTCTGCCTGTCAAAAAAAAAAAAAAAAAAGAAAAAAAAAAAAAGACTTCCCAATTCATGTGGCACGTTTTTTTGTGGGAGACAGAACCTTCTTCCTTCTAGATGTTTCCTTTTGGGTTGAGGGAGCCGCACTACTTGTCTCCACCTTTCACTGCTCCCTGGGTAGGGGATGTTATCTTATCTGGCTTGCGGCATAGAGATTAGGAAGCTGGTATTTCCTGTCTTTCCCTCTGTGCTGTCAATGTTCAGGGGCAGGCATGCACACTTGAACACACACACACACACATACTGTGGGAAGGCCTGCTTCCTGGGGCTGGAGGGTGGCTCATTCTGGAGTTCACTGGTAGGAATCCGCCTTACTGTTGTGCAAGTACAGTTCATACCGAAAAACGTGGACTCTCGGGAATTAAGATGCTGCTCAGATCTCCATATTCTTCTTCTGCCCTATTTATGTCTTAATTATACTTAAAATTGGGTGGGGAAAAAAAGATTCCATTATTTGGTCTCTCAATCCTCCAACCCCAGGGGATGATTCTAAGTAGCATAAAGAGACTCAGGTCTGGATTTCGGAGGTCACTTTGGCAGCTGTGTGCAGAATGGACTTGAAGCAGAAATGCAAGAAAATATGGCATCCAGACAGTCTCGTGGCAGCGGAACTGCAGAGGGAGAGATGGAGCTGAGCTACGCTGCTCAGTTAACAGAGCTTGGCCACCACTGATTTGAAGAGAGGGAGAAGAGCCAGGTTTTTAGCTTCAAAATCCTGCTCACACTTGACCTTCACCAACTCCCCAGCTTGTCCAGTGCTCCCTCTGGTGGCCACAGCCTGATGCGCACATCTATTGCCGTCTTCATCGCGTATCCGCCTCCTGGGAGCAGTGATGAACAGTGTGGGCTCTCTAGCCAGATTATCTGGGCTGGAGGCCTGGCTCAAGGACCTCTTTGATGCTGGATGAGTGAGTGAACCTCTCTGCACCTTTGTTCCCTCATAAATAAATGTGGGATAATAAAATGTCTCATATAGCATCAGGGTCACAAGGACAAATAGTGACACAGCTTTGCCCGGGGTCTGGTGCACAGCGAGCCCCAGTCCACCGCTATCTGTGTCCCTGCAGCACCAGGTGCAGCCCTGAGGAGCACTCAACAGGTGTTTTGTGAATGAGTGATGGACTGCACTGCCCGGGAGTGGGGGGAGTGGGGTGCTAACTGAAGGGGCCAGCTCATGCCCTCAGCAAGTTCCCGTCACCCAGAAAGGAGGGCAAGTCACAACTCAGCCACACAGGAGGCACAGGCGAAATGTCAGCAACACAACACAGAGAAAGTCTCTTTAAGTCAGAGGGAGGGAGACTGCGGGGAACCCCACAAAGCTTCTTGGATCAATGGTCTAAGACAACCTCTCTGGCCAAAGATGTGGGAAGGGCAGCAGCAGGCAGCCCCGTGATGTGCCGTGAGAATGGCCGCCTGCCACATCTCTGGTGTTTGGTCCACCTGACACTCTCTGTGACGTGTGGCTCCATAACGCCAGTAAGGACAGCACCCACCTGTGCCCATGCAGCCAGACCAGGCTCCAAGCCAACCTGAGGTGCACACACCAGAGAGACATCCAAGAAGAGCCCCGGCCAGCTCTCCCCTGCCCCCCACAGCTGACACGCTCCCCCGGCCAACACAGTATATATACTCTCAGTGGCATGGAAACATACTCTGGCACACTCATTCTGTAGTTTAAATACAAAGGAGAGGACTATTCCCTTTCGTTGTCCAAGAAGAGACAGAACAGAACAGACTCAAGGTACCCCGGCACACTGTGAGAATTTCTTTTTTTTCTTTTTCTTTTTTTTGACAGGCAGAGTGAATGGACAGTGAGAGAGAGAGACAGAGAGAGGTCTTCCTTTTTCCGTTGGTTAAGCCCCCAGCCGGCGCACCGCGCTGATCCGAAGCCAGGAGCCAGGTGCTTCTCCTGGTCTCCCATGCGGGTGCAGAGCCCAAGCACTTGGGCCATCCTCCACTGCCTTCCTGGGCCACAGCAGAGAGCTGGACTGGAAGAGGAGCGACCGGGACAGAATCCGGCACCCCAACTGGGACTAGAACCTGGTGTGCTGGCACCACAGGCGGAGGATTAGCCTATTGATTAGCGGCGTCGGCCAACTGTGAGAATTTCTAACAAGTAACCCTGAAAACAGATACTGGGAAATGCAATAAAAGACTTGACAAATACCAAGTTCGGTCTTGCCAAAAAAAAAAAAAAATCCGAATCTCATGAAGCCTCTCGATCTAATTACCGATTTAGAAAATACATAAAGGACAGAGAAGTATGCTAAATTACAGGACAGGAAGAATCCAACTGTGGGAGAATCTACAGGCCAAAAGAGCAAGTTTCTTTAACAAATACATGGCAAGGAAGACAGAACCAGAAACAGAAGGAAAGCCTACGGATTCAAAGAGACTTAAAAGACAAACCAACCAATCACAATGAATGGGTGTTGATCATCCTACATAGCGAAAAAATATGAAACTTCAGAAAAAAATTCATAAGTTAGACACTGTACATATTTGCTAATATTAGGGAATGATTATCAATTCTCTTTCAGATGCAGCAATGGTATGACAGCTGCTTTCAAACAAAGGAACATTCTCATCTTTTAGAGCTACATCCTGAGGAACGAAGGTGGATCTGCTTTAAAAATAACGCAGAGTGAGGACAGCAGGCAGGGTAAAAAAGGAAACAAGATCGCGCGATGTAAGGCTGGGACTCGATGACGGGCACATGAGGTGTCACCTATTCTAGCGGCAAATATGTCGGGAATTTTCTATGACTATAAAAAAGGCCCAAATTCACTTTCTAGACCAAGTAAAGACTCTTCAGCATAAATGTAAAACTGGGACTTTTCTCTAAGATAATAATGTCAAATGATTAAATTAAGAAGGGCAGTCCGGGATCTGGCTTCATTTAAAGATCGAGGGAAAAGCCCTGGGACAAGAGAGGGAGGCCTAAGAGATTTCCCCTCTTCTTCCTTCCCTTCAGGGAGAGCTCCTCCTACCCAGGCGAGGGTTGTAATGTTGTGCCATGGGGCAGAATTCCCCTCCGAATCATCTTCTATCGCCTGTAAGTCACCGTCTGGTCTGTCCTTTCGTACAGTGCCGAGCGTGTTAAGATGTGTGAGGCATGATGATGAGATGAAGGAGCAGCGTTGCAACTGTCCTTGTCCCTTCACAGCAGTCTTTAAATGCCCAGCACGTGTAAAGAAATTCCCGTAGGTGACATCAATGGACATGAGGTGCACCTGCGGACAGCACGGTCTTTCTAGAAGGTGACCTAGTTCAGATGCCAAGTGGTCATCTGTGTTTTGTTCTTGAACCATAGTCTGACAGCCAACCTCAGGTTATTACAAGTAGAACATCGTTTTGTGGATTTCTAAGGAAGCTTCATTCACAGTGTGTGTGTGTGTGTGTGTGTGTGTGTTTTAAACAGACACCATGGGAATTTAGCCAATATCCTTGAGCAAAAAGGAATGACTTACCACACAAAGAAGCCAAAGCACAACATAGAGTATTTGGGTCTTAGAGAAGAGATCTTGTCCAAATTTTATGCAAACAATAGCTTCCAGGAAACCAATGACCCTGTTAGACAGAGAACGACAGGTCAAATATTCACTCATCTTACCCGAGCATTTACCATGCCAGAAATATGCACGATTGAGCCAGAAAGTTCAACTCACCCCAAGATTTTCGTCCCCAACACTGGTAGGAGGCGTCCCACAAGATGACTTTGTACTAACCCGCTGTAGCTTCTTCAGAAATAAATCAACAGTTTTGCCTCTCGCTTCCTCTTAGAGACCCTCAACTGCTGGTGGTAACAGACATCACCCAACACGGGGTCCCTGTTCCCACCTGGGGAGGTCCTCACTCGGCCTCCAGTGGACACTCTCCAGCCCAGCCCAGCACCTTGGCAGGGAAGTGTCTTCCCCTGGGTGAATGCTGGCTGTCTTGGGCTGGCATCTGCCTCCTGTAGCTTTATGCAAGGGCCCTAGCTCTGACCACTCAGGGTGAGTTTCAGTGTGGAAGGCAACGGCTGGCAGGGTGGCACAGGGGGTTAAGCTGATGCATGGTTTGAGTCCTGGTTGCTTCACATTTGATCCAACTCTTGCTAATGCCCCTGGGAAAGCAGCAGACCATAGCCCAGGTACCTGGACCCCAGCCATCTACTTGGGAGATCCAGATAAAGTTCAAGACTCCTAGCTTCAGCCTGGCCCAGCCCCAGCTGTTGTGGCCATCTGGGGATTGAACCAGCAGATGGAAGATTGATGTCTCTTTCTCTTTGTCTTTCCCTCCCTCCATCTCTGCCACTGCCTTTCAAATAAATAAATCAAATCTCTAAAAAAGAAGAACTTAAAGGAAGAAATACATTCCCTCCTAGCCTTCTAAAAATGTTTAAATAGCCCGTTTTTGTTGACAACATAAATCCTTTATCCTCTCTTGATCTGTAAGCGATTTTGCTAAACACAAAAATGTTAAAACACACACACATTCTCTCATGTTTTCCCCATTTGATCAAACTATTAAAGAAAAAAAGCTACTTTTTTGTTCTTTTGTTTCTTCACTTATGAATACAAAAATCAGGCCTGTATTCGGGTTCAGAGCTTGAAGGCAAAAACGGACGAGGCAGGGGTTGCACCGTGGCTGTGAGATCCCGAGGACAGGGTGGGACTACGGACTTCAGACAACGCCACCTTCGGGTGCCTTGCTTGAGGATCCAGACAATCGGGATTGGTAGACTCTCACAAGTATTCTCTGAAAAGGCCTCAGTGCCCCTGCCCCCTGGCACACACACAGGTCACTGCCATCAGGAAAGGTCGAAGGCCTGGAATTAGAACTACGGCTGCACAGCAGGAAAAGCCAGGCTCCTTCATGCATCGTTAGAGGCTTGGGGGCTGTCTTCCCTTGCAGCCCCAGCCAAACAAGGGTCAAGGAGAAGGCCTGATTCTGCAGACTGCTGTCCCCTGACAAGGCACGGCACATGTGAGAAAGCACCATCGCAGCCGAGGAACACAGTCAGGCTTTCTTCACTGGAATCCCGAGGCCCAGGCCACGGCCCGGCACGAGACGGCAGGTGATTGTGCGGTGCGTCCAGCCTGCACAGTGAGGCGCCTACAAAGCCCCTTATCTCGTCTGCAGCTGGGACTTGCAGAGGAACTCCCACCAGAGAGTGCTGGCCCCAGGAGAGAGGTGTCACCACTGACCTCTAAACCACACAAAACACCCTAAGCTCAGCATGAAAGATTTCTGGATATTCCACGTGGTCTGAGCCCCTTTTGAAAAGCATTGTGATCAATGGACTAGAGCAAGCTGGTCATGTGTTTAATTAATACTCTGTACACACACACACACACACACACACCCCAAAACAGCAGTTTGACAGAACCAGGTATACTCTTTGTTAAATGAAAATTACAGGTCATGGTTTTAGACAAAGCTCCTGTACCATGTCCCAAACAGGCTAAAAACAAGAATGGAGTCACTCGTGCCAACATTCAACATCACCAGTCTGAAACTAGGCAGTTTCTTTGACCTTCTGAAAAATCATGATTAGAGAGAGAACAGCCAAACATCCCAAACAGGCCAGTTTCAATCAGCACGATAACAAAATTCCCACTCCTTAACCCTTACACACACACAAAAGATAACCTGAAATAATCTGGTGTTAGCCAGTCAGCTATGTCTCCACTGTTCCGTTCCCTGTGACCTTACACGTAACTGAAATGACCAATCTGCCCTGCCCTGTCTGTGAAACTACCTCTGCTCAGCTCACTCGAATGTTTACTCTATGGCATGAAGTGTTGTTAGAATATGAGATGCAAAGTGAGCCCATGAAGAACTTGTGATTTTGTCCTCTGTTAGCTTACTCTGCTGTTTCCACTCTACTTCACCTTAAGCGAATGCTGGTCAAGGTCCACTCGACTGGCTGCACAGTGCCCTGAAGTTTATTCTAAGGACCACTGCTTTTGAGTCAGAAACTTCAGGACATGATTTGCTCCCACGTGTGGACACGTCTCTCTGGGAGGGTGACAGATGAGCAAGAGGAGGAGGAGGCTGGGGTAGGCTGTTTGGCCAGGGTTGAGATGCTGGTTGACACGCCCACATTCCACAGCAGAGTGCCTGGAGCCAAGAGTGCTCGCTCCACTCTTCATTCCAACTTCCTACTAACGTGCACCTTGGGAGGCAGCAGACCATAATGGCTCAAGTACCTGGGTCCCTACTACCTGCACAAGAGACCTGGACTGAATTCTCCTGGCTTTGGCTTGGCCCAACCCCAAGCATTGCAGACATTTGGGGGAGTGAATCATTGGATGGGAGCTCTCTCTGTTTGTTTGTCTGTCTCTCAAATAGATAAAATACATAAATTATTTTTTAAAGGATCCAGCAAGGGAGCCAGCTGTGAGGTTATCTGGGATTGGAAAGGCTCAGGAAGGGGCTGAGTGAGGGAAAGAGCTAAGCTGAGGTCGGAGGAACACAGAGTAACGTGAGGGCCGCTGCAGAGCTTGGGTTTTATTCTGGGGCAATCTTCCAGAGTTTGGAGCAGAGTGTTCAACACAACTGGATTCACACTGTGATGTCATCTTTCCAGCACTGGGAGATGGCAAGGGCGAAAGCTGGCAGGTAGTGCACTAACCCAGGTACCAGGACCCACAGAGGAGCTGTGGGGATGAGAAGCAGTGGGAACCGGGGGAAGCATCAAAGCCACCATCAAGGCCACTACCCCTGCTCTTATGGTGGCCCCTGTGGGGGTATCCTAATCAATAGCACCCTTCAAAAGGCTGCAAGATTCTAACAGTGCCCACTTTGGAGTCGAGGCCAAAGGCTCCAGCCTACTGGGAGCCTGGGTTGAGGTTCTCAGCTGAGAACTCACCTACCTCCTCCTACCTCCTCATTCCCTTTACTCAGTTCAAGTTCAAATCTCTCTGACCTTTCCCAGGATGGTGAGCTGGCCAAACTGTCATCTTGCGGAATTCAGCCAGCACCAAGACTCCCTCTGATGTCTGCAGCCATCCTTATCTCGCTTCAGCAGGTTAAAGGACAAACTTTCAGGCAGTGAGCTGCTGGCTTCTGCACTGGAGGCTCTGGATCTGCTGACTCACACAGGCTCAGCTCCACAGGATAGGAAAAACGGATGGTGTTACAGAGGAGCCAGGGCTGGGGAGCTCCTCCGTGAATGGAGCAAGACTGCACAAGCAGGGTCATTACACAAAGTGGGGGCACAAAGGCTCCAGGACCACACGTGGACGCTGGGAGTACAAGCCGAGCCTGAGAAGCAGAGACAGAGCTTCAGTTTGCCAGCAAAGCCTACTCTTGGGTACTAAGGTTGCACCAGGAGGCCACCTGGCAGCCTGCATCTCACTAACCCTGTTCTGCAGCTGCTTGAGAACTCACTCCTAGGGCCACTCAGAGCCAGGCAGGCCACCCTCCTGCCAGCTCAGAGCTGGCTCCCAACAGTGCAAACGAGACATGGATCCATAAAACACAACCAGTACACACACACTCACCTGGGAAGCCAGGAGGCGCTGAGTTATAGAATGAGGGCTCTTGTTTTGATTAGGGGGAAGTAAAGGCACTTTTTTTTTTTAGAGGAAGTGAGAGTCTGGCTGGGCCTTGACAAACTGATAACAGACAGACAGACAGACACAAAGAGAAAGGGTGAAGGGGCAGAGGCAGGCCAGCTTGTGAGCATGGTGGGCAGGGCAGGGGAGGCTGGCTTGAGGCTGCGAGATAACAGGCGGCAGGAGGGCGGGGATGACCCAGGAGTGCGGGGGGGGGGGGGGGGGGGGTGGCAATGTTTATCCCTCTCGATCTCTCCCTCCCCAAGTGACCCTTTGTGCTTGGGTGCCACTTCCAATGATGAGGATCTGTAGGAGGGCATGAAAGTGGGGTTTGGGGAGAGAGGTGGGAGCCAGAAAAGGTAACAGAGCAGTAGACGGGAGCAAATCCAGGATGGAGGCTACAGAAGGAGGCGGGAGAAGGCGGAAGGGATGAGGGCAGAGACCAGAAAGGGCTGCAGAGAAGAGCTGGGCAGGCTGCGGCTCTGCGGACGGGCACTCGCGGGTGGGAGGCTGGGTCCGCCCTGGGCCCTCAGGCCCAGCCCTGGACTGTCAGAGCTGACTGCTCCCTCCCCCCAGCCAAAGCTTGGCCAGCCTCCTGCCAGGACCATGGCACAGAACTGCTTTTCTTGTTTAAATTGGAATGACAGTTTCTCAGAAGCACAGGAGCTCAACTATAATCAGGGCGATGCAGACAAAGACAACATAAACCGCACACCTGGGGAATGTGCTCCCATCAGCCCGGCCCCAAACTCCCGCGGAGCTGAAGGAACACACGTGACCTCTAAACAGGGAAGGGGCCCGCGTGTCCCCACCACAGCTTTCTCCCTCCCTGGATGGAGTCCCAGCTCCACAGAGAGGTGTGGTTCAAGGGCAGGGGACAGTGTGGTAAGGCAGTACTGAGCTACGAGGACATGGCAGTCACAGAAGGAAAGTGCCTCCCCCAACCCCAGGAAAAAAAGTCACCAGCTGGGAAAGAGATTCAGGTCCAGGGGCCTGTTTGACCTTTGCCCTGCCCCCTCCCATCTCCCCCAAAGACCCACTGTGGCGTTCCTTCTCTTCTCTCCACACCTTGCTAAAGCCGGGGCTCACTCCAAGCCAGACGGTGGCTGCTAGTTGTCAAAGCTAGAAAGCTGGCCGGTGGAGTTATCAAAGGAAACTGGACACAGAAAGGTTTTATGCTGGGACAGGAAAGGAAATGAGGGCCACAGGGAGGTGGGGGTGGGGCAGAAAAGGGAGGAGGTGGCCTGGTAGGGGGATGGGAGTGGGGGCACCGGGGTGGGGGGCGGCAAGCACTCAGAGAGAGGAGTCTGGAGGCCCTGCTCCTGTGCCACTCCCAGGCCGGTCTGTGGACAGTGTAGACTGACTGTGTGGACGTGTGCTCCGGGCAGGAGGCGGTTCTCATCATGTTCAGGCCCGTGGGTGGGTATACTGGGGTGATTTCTTAACAGGGATTTGTTGTTTTTTTTTTTTCAGCACAGTGCACTGTGTCTCACAAGGGTCATAAATCTTGTTATTGTGGCCCTGGGAGTTCTCCATTCGCAACAAAGCACGCAGAAGAAGTGGAAATCATCTTTCTTTTGCATTTCTGTTCTTTTCATCCCGGTCAACAAAGCAGGACATTCAGGGGAGGTGCTTTCTACCACTCTGTGGTCACACCACCTCTCTCTGACCCCTCAGGTCAGGGGATACAGTTCCGTGGGAAATACCCAGTCCCGGGAGGAATGAGAACCTCCTGGGGACTTCTGACAGCCGGGAAAGGGCACTGTGAGAGGGAAAGGAGAGCTCAAAGGCAGGATGCGGCACTTCCTCTCGGCCCACGTCCTCCAGCCGAGACGCAGAAATCTGGTGGATGTGCGCCTGCTCCCTCTTGGACATTGCTGAAGTAAGGAAACCTAAGCCACACCATCACCCCTTTAGCGGCAATCACCCATGGGCAGGAAAATCAGCTTATGCCACAGAATTGATGGGGAACAACTGACGGTGGCCCTTTGTCTTCTGGGGATGGGGAGGTACTTGCTAAATCTCACTTGATGGTCTACATTCTTATCCTATTGGCGACCTCTCAGGATCTGGAATGGGAGCTGACACACACACACACACACACACACACACGCTACTCATACGCAAATGCACACAAAGCAAATGCTGGGAAGGAATGACATCAAAATACCAATGGCTACTGTCTCTGAACGGTTGACTTCTTTGCATGATCTTTAGTTTCTCTGATATTCTGACTTTTTAATCCACCTGCATGCAGTACTTTTTAAATGTTAAAGTTTAAATGTTAAAGAGTTATTCTCTTTACCCATTGGAAGTAGTAATTTCTTTTCTACTGTGCATTTTCTTTATACTTGTTTATACAGTCATGATCAATTCAGAACCTGGCTTAGGTCTAGGGGCTGAGCTTGCACAGATTTGCCGGGCATTTCTAGAACATCAGCGGCTAAATGGAAATTGTTGATGCTGTTTAAGCAGAAGAACTACTCGCCTGACATTCTGGAGAGGGTCTCTCATGTTTAACAGTCAGGGGAGGGGGCCTTACACTAAATAATCTATGGTCCCTTTTAAAACGTTAAACAACAGAAAGTTAAGATGTAGCCCTTGAATCTCTACCAAGACCGTAGATTGTGACCATATGACTATGTGTTACTTCTCTCAAGAACAGTAAGATCAGGCTGGCTTAGAGCAAGGAGCTATTGCAAGGGGTCCTTTTGGCATGAAAGTAACAAGAACTGTGGGCAAACACACATGAGTTTGATGTCACCTCAACTTGAGGTCTCTAGAGAGGAAACTGGACCAGTCCATTTTCTAATTTATTTTATAAAACAAGGTCTCTGAGTTCTGTGTAGAAAATATCTTCTGATTTCCTTTTTTTAAAGTAGGGTACAGTTTCTATGCCCTCTTTTGATCACTTGCCAAATAATGATTCTTTACTTAAATCAGAAAAAGGAATGTTGAAAAATAAAATATGTTGGGGCAGGTGTCTGGCACAATGGTTAAACTGCTACTTGGGAGGCTGGCGGGTAAAGCTGCTGCCTGCAGTGCTGGCATCCCATGTGGGTGCCTGTTCAAGTCCCATCCAACTCATCCACTTCTGATCCAGCTCTCTGCTATGCCCTGGGAAAGCAGAAGGTGGCCCAAGTCCTGGGCCTGTGCACCCGTGTGGGAGACCCAGAAGTAGCTTCTGACTCCTGGCTTTGGATTGGCCCAGCTCTGGCCATGGCAGCCATTTGGGGAGTGAACCAGCAGATGGAAGACCTCTCTCTCTCTCTCTCTGCCTCTGTAACTCTGCCTTTCAAAACTAAATAAATAAACCATTTTAAAAAAGGTTGCCACTTTGGATGCTTGTATCCCATACCGGAGTGCAGGAGTTTGAGTTCCAACTCTGCTTACTCTCCAGCTTCCGGCTAAAGTTCACCCTGGAAGGCAGCAGATGGCTCGAGTACTTGGGTCCTTCTACCCATGGGAGACCTAGAAGGAGTTCTAGTTTCAATCTGGCCCAGTCCCAGCTGTTGATGGCATTTGGGGAGTGAATCAGCAGATAGAAGATATTTCTCTTTCTCTATTTCAAATACACAATTTTTAAAAAAGATAGTTAAAAAAAAAAAAACAAACCCTAAACTTTGTTCACTTACCTTTATAGGAAAACTACACTGAAAGGTCCTTAACACGGGGTCAAGAAATATGCAGAGAAATTTAGGGGTCTAAGTGGCTCTGAACCTTCCCCAGTAGCAGATACTCACCCGAACACCCAGCACTGTGTTCCTACGCGCTTGCACTGTGTGTCGGTGAGGTAGGCGTAGTACTGCCTGAAAGAGCAAAGTGGGAACTCACTGAGGGCTTCTGGAAGACCACAAGGCAAGGTAAAATTAAATCACGCTGACAGAGTGAGCCAAGAAAATGTTCTTCCTTGTCCCACATGCTCCAGCTGCCTGGGCCAGTCCGGTTCAGGAGACTAAGAGCCGGGCCTGTTGAAACACTCCCAGAAGAGATTCAGAATGGGAGTGAGGCTGGAGGGAGGGGAGTGCAGGGTGGAGAACCAGGCAGTTGGCAAAGGCAGTCTTTATTCAGCCACAGATGCCCACAGCCCTGAGCCAGTTCCAGGCTCTCTCCCTGGAGGGGATGGCACAGGTGAACTCCCTGGCTCGTTAACTGTCTCCCCTGGCACTCTCCAGGACAAAGGCTATTGTTTGTAAACAGGCAGGAAATACATATGTCTTCAGCTTTCAGAAACTGGAATGGGATCTCAGCTGCATCTCAGGCCAGTGACTGGAGATGTGATAGAGAAGGCTGGAAACAGGGCGCAAAGGCTGATGGCAGCACTGTCTGCAGGAACCAAACCTGAGCCACAGAGACCACTGACATTTTTCCAGTTGTCACAGCAAAAAGTACAAAGGACAGATAAAATTCATTTCAATAATGCCTATATTTCTTGAACCAAGGTTTATATCAGTACAGTAGCATGCCGTAATGAGGTATGTTGTGTGGAATGTGCACTAACTCTGAAATCTGGGGTGTGTGGTTTACACATTCAGCACATTTCACTGCGAAGAGGCCACATCTGCAGTGCTCCACAGTCATGTGGTGAGGACAATGTGGCTCAGAGTCTCATGAGCACCCCAAAGCTCCATCCAGCCCTGCAGAGGCAGCACCCGGCCCAGCTCTTGGTGTGCAGCCCCAGGCTCCTTTGAGGATTTGATAAAGGCACAGACAACACACACGTGTTGCACTGAAGCTCATCTACAACCACTCCCTCCTTATCCAGAACCCCAGTCAAGAATCCTAGCTCAATACAAGGCAGGTTTTCCCCTGGCTTCATATTTTCATCACCTAATGGTTTTACCAGCTCAGTTCTGTGTACCCTCTCTCTGCATCCATCCCTTTTTCTTGCACGTTGTATTATCAGATGAAACGAACGTTCACTCAAGTATCTTCTAAGAGCAACCAGGTTCATGCAAAAGTCTCATCAAAAAGGAAGCAAATGGAGATGTGGGGCATATGATTTATCCATAAGCCCGTAAGCTTTCTCATGGGGGGCTGCCCTTTGCTGACGGGGTTGGCTGTATGAAATCTGTGAGACCAGGTCCATCTTGCAATGGACTTGTCAACGCACCTTCCTGCATGAGACTGTCTCAGGTAGAGCAACAGCCCTGCAGGTGGCCAAGTTTCAAACGGAAAACAACTGTGTAGAAATTTACAGGTTAGGGCAAAAACTTTGAGACGCTGTCAAGAGTTCCAAAATGTCAAGATTTTTTTTTTGTCTCTAGTTTTTGTTGAGAAATGTTTGACAAAATTAAAATTTCATGAGACATCAGATGTGTCTTGCTATTTTGTTTCATATGAAGAGATTTCTTTTCTGTCTTATTCACTTTGTTGATTGTATCTAGTTTTACAAAAGAGCTGCTGCTAATCTCCCCTGAGAATAACTGTGAGGGCTCAAATTAAGGGACATTTTAAATGAGGAAGGGGCCCACCAAACCACTGAGGGAAAATGGCATTTAGGGAATGGTGGCTTTAACAGGCCAGTGGCCTATGAAGTTTCAAAGGGCTGCTGTCTCCCCCAACTGCTCCTTTCTCATTGGGCTCATAAGGAAAAAGAGGAGACAAAATTTTTGCTTTAATTCTACAGGACTTGCACGTGTCTTACTCGGTTTGCTCATTCCGGATCTGGGAAAACATGCATACGTATATATGTGTGTGTATAATTATTTTGTGCGTGTGACAATGAATATTTACAACAAGAGGAGCTGCCTGGGGGTCTGTTTGACCAAGGTGCATATCTAGTCTCCTTGGCAAGGGAGGCCCTTGACCTGTGTGCTTTGCAAGCACATGAGAAATGATGGACTAAGTACTCCTGCAGTTTCTGTAAAGTTAACTCTCTTAACTGCTCGGTTTACATGTGTATCTTTGGCAGCTCTCTGGTGTTGCTACTGCTCAATGCTGCAACTCCACGTCAGTGAGGAAACCCAAGTGCCATTGCTAAATGGGGAAAATGAAATAAATGAAAACAGTTTGCTTTGAAACAACATCTCACAGAATCCCTGCAGCCCAAGGGCCTTTATACCCACTGTAAGGACACTTTTAAGAGGAAATCAGCTTCTTTGGGTTTGGAAAAAATCAGTAAAATACCATATTTAAAAATAACATCACTTATGACTTGAATTCTACCATAAAACTTTTGTGCTTTCCAATGATCTCACTTTAAAAAAAAAAAAAAACTCAGTGTCCAACTCCTTTTCTTTTTTTAAATAGGATGTGAGCAGGGGAAAAGATCAGCGGTGAAAAATTAATTAAGTGGTCAGAAAAAAGTGAGTAGCACTATTGGTGTGCTGTGGATGATTCATTTTCTTCTTTTAAAGCCCCAATAATGTTCTGAGGTCTAAGCACAAAGCATTTCCTTCATACTTAGAACATTCAGGAGGCACGATTCTATAGAATGCGATTTTCATGGACAATCTGCCAGTGGCTGTGACTTCCCTTCTGCCAAGCAGGGGGAGATAGAGCAAGTTAATATCCTCAGATGACAGTCAGGTGGGTATAGAATTACCTCACTGTGGGAGCCGTGATGCAGCCAATAAAGAGAATCCTACACCAACTTAATGGGTGGCTGGCTTGGAAGACAAAGATATGTTTCAGGAAGAAGGTATTCAACTCAGTCAGCTGGAAAAGAAGGAGAAATTAGTCAACCTGGTACTTCATGCTAAGCCATAATCATGTTCCTTAAATAGACATTCTCAAACTAAAAGTAACTGGTATGTTCCAAGCATTTTTGGAAAATATATGGTGCTTTCCAAGGCTACCTATTCAAATGAATAACAGCCGGTACAGCATGAGAACAAACCAACTGGTAGTGCAGGGGTGGTGGGAGGGGTCCCCAAGGATTCCAGGCACCAAATCTTTTGCCATGTTTACTGGTTTGCATGAGTGTCACTTGGCTTGTGTGTGATCCCTGGAACACTGGGAGACAAATGAAGTCATACAAACAAGTGGGTGCCATGTGACACCCAAGTAGCCTTACAGAAATCAGGGCAGGTCTAAAGAAGTCTGGCCATGGATAAAGTAAACTCATCAACACCACAATGAAGCTGAAGATACACCTCAGAAAACGACGGTGTATTTCTGTAGCACACGCCTGGGACAGGGCAGATCCTCCACTAAAGACAGCACTAAAGAGCGAGTATGGAAGCTTGGTCCAAGTTTTTCCTAGGGGCAGTGGTAGTCCTCCCTGAAGTTAGAGTCCCGGTGCAGTTCATCACGAGTAGCCCTTAGCAGCACAAACAGCTCTGCCCAGAGCCCAGCTCCAGCTCACAAACAAGGGGGTGAGACCATGGGAAGGTCACTGTGCTTGAGATTTTGAGAGCACACTACATAGACTGGCAGGTCCATTTCCATGATATAAAATATGTATCATTTTCCCACAGTGTTGACTTCAAGGATAAGAAATTAAAAATAGTCCACCTATTAACACCACAGAGGGAGAGCTGATCCTGGCCCAGTGCTCAGAGCCATAGGAAAGGCGTGCTCCACAGAAGGCTAGGAGGTTCCTCCATGGGAACACAATGGCATCTCTCCTTGGTAAAGCCAATCATTTGCCTTTCTAATAAAAGAACACTTAAACCTTCCTTGAGGTTTGCCCTGATAAGGCAAAACTTAATCCTGATCCACTCACAGGCCCATTCTTATAAACACAGGTGTCCCTTGTTATCCGTGGAAACTGGTTCCAGAACACCCCACAGATACCAAGATCCATGGACATTCAAGTCCTTCCTGTAAAATGTGCAGTATTTGCATATAACCTATGCACATCCACTTATATACTTGAAATCATCTCTAGATTATTTATAGTACCGAATACAACATAAATACAATGTGGATAGTTGTAGTACCGCATTATCTAGGGAATGGTGATGAGAGAAAAAAAGCCAATCCATTTTAAGTACAGGTGCAACTTTTTAAAAAGTATTTTCAATATGCTGTTGGTTGAATCCACAGATGTGGAGCTGGCAGATACAAAGGGCCGACTGTGCTGACTTCCCCAAACCACAGTGATTACAGAACTATTCACACACCCTTCTGTACTGAGGTGGGCATTATATTCTCCATGTATGGCCAGGGAAGACTGACTGTCTTCAAAGTGACATCTGCTGATCTTTTCCTTATGTTGGGAGTAGTTTGGCACTTTTGTGTCCAAAATATAATTTCTGATGACTCTGAAAGAGCCTTCAGATACAAGCTGATTTCCCTTAGTGAGTCGGCCAAAGTTGTGAAACCACCAGGGACAGGAGACTCAAACCAAAAAGGCTGTGTCTAGAAAACAGAGATGGTGGACCATCCTTTGCCAAGACCCTTGGCTGTCTCCACTACTTCCACCACAGAATGTGCTACACGTGAACCACGGCTGTTATCTGCCAGGACAAAACTCTGTAGGACCCAACAGCTCCACAGGGCTCCAGGTCTCCCTGGCAGCAGAGAGCTGGGTTAGTGCTCTAGAAATCACCCAAAATGGTTACAGCTGGAGCACAAGTGGAACCAACACGCACTGACTCAGGAATGAAGGAAAAGCCTTCTCATTCATTCCTTTGGTCTTGAAAAATGACCGTTCTAAAGAGCAATGCAAAGCTTAATTCATGGGGTGATGGATGCTACCACGGCCACTTTCAGGGAATTTAATCTGCTTCTACTTTGTAACTCAGAGATCCATATTTTAGCATTTCTTCATGGATGTAGCAAGACCTTAGGTAAAATAACATCACTTTGATTCCACAGGCCAGCTGCAGAAGATTACAGGGAGCCAAGCATCTCGTTGGTGAGCAGCAACTAACATTAACTCTGAGTGCCTGGAAGGCTATTATTCTTTGTCCCCCCACCCCAGCCCTGGGCTTCTAAAAAGAATACCTGCCAGATGATCATGAATAGGTATATTCCGGCCACTCTCTGGAAAGAAGACTTGGGATCAAACCATCTAACATAGGTCCAGCTGGCGGGCGTGAACTGCAGCACGGCTCGTTTGATCTTGCCGGTGGTGGTGTGGATGTCCCTGCCGTGAAAAATCCAGAGACATAAGGGGCAACAAAACAGGGGGAAAACTGCATTTCTGATTGTTTAACACCTGCACTGAACAAGAAGTTTCCTTTGGATCCGAATAATCTCAAGCACAGGTCTCTGTTCACAGGTGAGAGTGAGAGGCACAGACTCAACAGGGAATTTCAACCGCAGCACTGCTGTCATCATGGTCAGGGTGCTGCTGAGCTGGGAGAGGTGAACTGGTGACAAGAGCAGGAGGCTTCACAGACAACAGCCTGGCACCAGCCCAGGAGAACGTGGCCGCCACTAGGGGTGCGATCCCCACCCACTGCTCGCCCCCCGACGCCAGGTGTTTGGGTAAAACAGCACATGCCCCATGCTGCTGGGGTCGCCCACATTATATCTTTACCTTTTTTTCTTTTCCAAAGAAGTGGGCAGTGTGGGCTGACGAGCAGTGGTATTTAGCCTTTCTTAGTTTTAATCCTCTAAATCACTCAAAAAAGTTTCCCATGCCTGTGAGGGAAACCAGCGGTCCCACACTTAGGTCAGAGAGGACACCAGGCAGATGCAGGCTGCCCTCCCCAGCCTCAGAGCTGGCTGTGGACTCCAGCACTCTCGGACCAGTACAGGAGGGCCGAAGTTCAAAATAAACGATACTAACTTAATAACTGATGAAGAGTCTTTAATTCAACAAATATTAAGGACCTCATGTCTCAGCCACTGTGTAATTGTAGGCCTTGTGTTCTGGTGGGGGAGGGGCAAAGACAAGGGCAGGAAAGCAGGTCAGTTCCTCCGGCCACCTGTCCATCAGCAAGGGTGTCCTGTCTATTTTGGCACAATGGCAACAAAAATAGAGGCTACCCAAAAATAAACAGTAACTATGAAGGCCTATATTTTTTTTAAATGACAGAAGTACAAGGAAAGACCTAGAGGAAGATGGGAATAAATGGAGATATAGTATGATCCAGAATCAGAAGATTTAACATTGCAAAGAGATAAGGCCGGCACTCGGCTCAGCAGTTCAGATGCTGGTGAGCCACACTGGGGTGCCTGGGTTTGATTTCCAGCTCCAACTTCCTGCCAGTGTAGACTCTGGGAGGCGGAGGTGATGGCTCAAAGTAATTGGATTGCTGTTACCCATGTGGTAGACCTGGACTGAGATACCTAAGCTCAGGTTTAGTAATTTTCTAGCAGCAGATAAATTGTACCAGGCTCTCTGATTCCTTAAACATTGCCAAAAAGTCTCCCTATTTTCACATATTTATGCTTCAAATTCAACGTCAGAATCATTCAAGATATCAGGGAATGGACACACATACATTATAGGAGAGAGCACAAACTGGTATACTCAATTTCTAGGAATTTATTTACCAAAAAAAAAAATTGTATACAAAATATATATTTAAGAATGTTCACTCTAATCTTTATAAAAATGAACACTTTGAAACAACTAAATGAAAAAAGGAATTGTTAAATAATTTATGATTTATCTGCATGTTAGGATATACAAATATTCTTTAAAAAATGTTTCAGAAGAATACTTTGATATATTAGTTCAAGTTTAAATGCAATAAAAAGAACTGCTTCTTTCACCATCTCTAGCATTGCTCATTTGCTCTAATAATGGCATGCTTCTACCCACAAATGGGGAAGCAACCGAACTAAACAGAGTTCAGCCATGACGGTGGGCAGTGTGCACAGCCCTCCTGGGCAGCACACAGAGGCTGTGCAAGTGAAACCAGAGAGCCAGAGACAGCATCTGGGACAGGCAACAGGTGACTGAGTCAGCGAAGAAAAGGATGAGCAGCCTGGCCAGGGAGCACAGGTCCAAGCCCTGGGAAACAGAGAAAGGAGTGTGTGCGTGGACACGGAACATCAGGGTCCTGGGTGGGCAGGGAGGAGGGGACCTTGCCTACAGGACACCTTGTCTGTAGACCATGAGAGGCCACCACAGGGCATGACAGGGTGAATCTGATGCTCTTGAAGAGACCACTCAAGCAATGGTGTGAGAGGGGCTGGAGGGGATGACTGGGGACAGGGGATGAATTAACCCAGGGATGGGAGTCTGAATGCAGGTAAACAGGTGGGGGTGGCTTTGAGAAATAATTTCAATCAAGAGGGTCTGAGGACCCTCTGAATACAGGGGATGAGAAAGGAAACTGTAAATGGTTTAGCGTTTTCTGGATGGATGCTTGAAATCAGGTTGAGAATCACTTGTGACTCTTCATGACTAATGTGGAACTGGTGCCTCTCCAGGAGGTAACCTACACTCTACAGCAATCTACAGCGCTGTGGCTGGGTCCACAGGGAGGACAACTCACTTGAAGCTGGCCCAGTGGTACGTCCGCATCTCTAGGAACCGGCAGACGACCATGCCCAGCCAGATGCCGCCGCCGTTACACAGCAGGATGTCCAGGATGACCTGATCCCACCAGCACTCCGCAAAGTTGGGCAGGAGATGCATGAAGAAGAGCTGAGGAAAACAAGAGACCAAAACTGGGTGCCCCGCAGGGAGGCACAGTTCCTGTCATAACACAAGTGCATTGGCTGCTGACATTGTTTCCCAAATGTATTAAAAAAACAACAGTAACAGGCTCTGTAATCTGGTCATTTTTGAAAATTTTTTACTTATTTGAGAGGCAGAGATCGGGAGAGCAAGCTGCCATCCACTTCCCAAATGGCCACAACTGGGAGCCAAAGCTGTGAGCTGGAAGGCAATTCAGGTCTCCCATGTGGGTGGCAAAAATGCAACTACTTGAGCTATCATTTGTGCATCCAAGGGTCTGCTTCAGCAGGAAACTGGAGTTAGGACCTGGAGTGAGGTACAGAACCCGGGAACTCTGACATAAGACATGGGCATCTTAAAGAGCATCCTAACCACTAGGCTAAACGCCCACCTCTTGTTCCTATTTTTTACATCCTAAGACGGTTTTGCAAAGAATACTGATTCAAACAGCTACTCTATTTTTTGACACAGGACTTTAGAGAAATGGTAGCCCTTCTTTAAAAAACAGCAATGAATGACCTTGGCTAATGACTCTATGACAAGAACGCAGGAGAGGACCTGAGACAAGTTTTCATAACTGACAACAAAGCATTGGCCAAATCCTGAAAATGAACTGCCTGAGGAGTCAAATTGTGCATTTAAGAAATATTAAATGATACTTGGGTCGAACAATGAGGAAATCATAAAATGCTGAAAGGGTAGCTCTGGGTCACAGGATGTAGGCAACTGATAGCTTAATAAGAAGTCTCACACTAACTGATTCACAGCAATGCCATCTTTTATATTAGGTGTCCCTGGTGTGCATGAAAATGAAGGGTGTTGATCTCAAGGGGAGGGGTCATCTTTATCCAGATTCCCAGAGGCACAAAATAGGCTAAATGCAAATGTTCCAAAGGTGACCTAAGTGGAGTACGATGGGGTTGAGGACAAAGCAGATTCCTTCCAACAGAAGGCAACTGGAGAAGGGTCTGGAAGCTGGGCACACTGGAGTGGGAACATTAGGCCAGGAAGGACTGAATTCAAGAGAGAGATCTGATGAGGAAAGGGGGATGGGGAAGACGTAAGGTAGAAGGGGAGTCTCCCTGGGAGATCATTCTGTCCTATACAGAGGGTGCACCACCATGTCTGGAGCAGCATGCCCTGCTGTGTGAAGGCCAAACTGAGAAACTGAAACTGCAAGGGCAACACCGGGCGTTCTCTGGAAACAGACAACCTTGCAGTGACAAACCCCTGAAGACAGATGAAAAACACCACAGGGTTAAAACGATACCCAAGGAAACGCTTTGTAAGCTACAAACCAATACACAAACATGAGGAATTTGTGCGATGGGCCTGCTGCCCAGAAGCTACAAGGGCAGCCACTGTGGCTGCTGGCTTCTGGCTGCTCTCTCCCAGGACAGGTGTGGCGCAGCCCTGGACACATCCTCGAACTCCAAGTCACGAGGTGGAGTCTCTACTCTTGCTCTTGGATGGGAAGAGGGACGTGGCAGCAGGAGACAAGGATGTCTGCAGAAACAAAGCTATGCACGAGGGTGCAGAGTGCATCCTGCAGCCCCAGGAGCCTTCTGGAAGGGTTGCAGGTTCTAGGTTCTAGTGAGATGGGTCCCGGCAGGTGGAGTCTGGGAGCCAGGGGCCATGTGTGTCCATTCGCTGTAGATCTGCAGAGCATCTGCCATGTGGAAAGTAGAGTCCTTGGGTTTGGGACTGTGGAGACATGGCCCTGCCCCCTCGAGGGTTAGTGGATGACAGAAAAGAGATTTATCAAGTATCTACTAGCCGACATGCATCTCAAAGGAGACAGCACAGGCGCTCCTTTCCAGGTGCCTAAGCATGCAGCATTCCACAGGAGAGTAAGGCAGACTTCCTGGGATAGAGCCCTGGAGAAGAGGGAAGAGCTGGGAGGAGGGCTCCTGGTGGGAAGAACATGAGGTCTTTGAAAAGTAAAGATGGCTGGGGCAGAGGGGGCCAAGGCAGGCAGAGGCTGCAGTGCTGGGATTGGTTCACTTCAGGGCTGGCTCTGTCTGAAGAGTACTGGACAAGTACAGAAGAGCTCTTAGGAGGAGGAGGACTTGATCTGGTGCAGGTCTAAGTCTCTGGCAATAGACAGTGTGAAGGGAGACCAGCACTTCGGATGAGAGAAGGCAGTGGGAGAGACACAGTGGGAGCAGAGGTGTGAAACCACTGCAATGGACAGCCAGGGTGCATATACTTTAGCAGACTCTCCAGGACCTGGGGAGCACAGGACACTGGAGCAGGAGAGAAGGGACAGCACAAAGCCCAGTCTGCAGGGCGAGACAGGAGGAAGCGAGGCCAGGTGCCTTGCACAAGGTCATGCAGCGGAATTCCCAGCATGAACGTGGCATGGGCTTCACATCTGGAATCCAATGCTAGTTCATCCAAGGGAACAAGGCTCTGAGCTCTGATTCCCTCATCAGAACAACGGGAATGTACTGCCTGGTCTTTCCTGGCTTGTGATGAAGATTTAAGATGACATAAATAAAGTGTTTGGTCCCAGTGCGGATGGATGGAATTTTGCACCTTCAAAACTCATAGGTTGAAGTCCTAGCCTCCAATACCTCAGAATGGGAACTTATTTGGAAACAGAATCATTGCAGATGTAATTAGTTAAGATGCTGTCAGAGTAGAGCAAGTCCCTGATCCAATGTGAGTGGTGTCCTACTGTGAAGACTCAGACATGTACACAGGGAGAGCGCCGTGTGAACAGGAAGCCAAGGAATGAGAAAGAATGCCAGCAAACTAGGAGGTCAGAGAGAGGCCTGGGACAGAGCCTCAAACAGTCCTTAGAGGAAACCAAAGCTGCTGCCACCAGGACCTCAGACGTCTAGCCTCCACGTTAACAGATGCTTTCCTCAACTGGCATACTTCTCCAGGATACAGGACACTGATCGGCATCAAGAAATAGAATGGCAGGGCGGGTGTTTGGGGGCAGTGGGTTAAGCCACGTACATCCCAGATCAGAGTGCTGACTCGAGTCCTGGCTACTCCATGCTATGGATCCAGCTTCCTAACGTGCTAGGGAGCAGAGATGATGGTCCCAGTACTTAGGTTCCTGCTGCGCATGGGAGACCAGGATGGATGAACTTCCTGGCTCCTGGCTTCAGCCTTGACCAGCCCTGGCTGTAGAGGGCATTTAAGGAGCAAACCAGCAGATGGAAGATCTCTCTCTCTCTTACAATCTCCCACACCTCTCTATCACTCTGCCTCTCAAAAAAATAAATAAATTTTTGGAAAAAAATAAAAAGAGAACAAAAGAAGAGAAAGAAATAAAAAGAAATATATTGGCACACGGCCAAATTCTGTACCCTGGAAACAAGTATGAATAATATAATGCTTGAATAATAATGCATTAGTTCTCAAAAGTCCATCTTGCTAATCCTTTTCAAAAGCACATTTCTTTCATTAATTACCTGAGCCCCACTTCTGATCTCTGTTTGTGGAGCTGTATTAGGAACCAGTTTTCAGCTACAAAATACCCTGGGCACCCTTGTAATTCCTCAACACCCAATTCTACTTCTCTCAGATTGGAAACTAGGGAGCAAATGAAGATTCCCTCTCCACCATCTTTTGTCTCACCTGTGATTCTAACTTTGCTCTTTAGCTTTGTTTCATTTGTTTCTCTTCCAGACTTGTGGGACAGAAGCACACTTTATCACATGAACACAGAGGCTATGCTTTTGTTTCTTAAAGGGAAGAGATTACAGCATTCGCCAGTGCCTCAGCACTGGAGAACGGATTGCCTGTTCCCGCTTACGAACTGTGTGCCTGTATCGTCCAGGGAGCCCCTCCCCACCATGCTGCTTACTTCGGTCAGTTCCCAGGTGATGCTGATTGTCCAGCACAGGCCGTAACTGCGGATCAGCAGGGCCTTCATGGCCCAGCCCCAGAAGTGCCCAAATGCAAATATATCGAAGTGGCTGACGATGCGCTCCCAGGTGATCACGTGGCAGTTCACGGCGTACTCCTGTTTAACAGAAACGGAAGCCATCAGCGACACTCTCAAAGGCAACTCCATTCCTTCTGACTGTGACTGAAAGCATGGATAGGGCCTTGACAACTGCTATATGTCCTACTCAACTAAAAAAAATTGTAATGGATCTTGAGGTAAATGGAGCAGTATTAGAATTTACAAATCAGAACTGCTTTCTTGTGAATTCCAAACGCTGAGTTAATATGAAAAGCAAAATAATTTTACAAAGGCTCAACACATCTTGAGAAGTGGCATCACACAGACCACGCTGTCCGATCACAGAGCAACTAAGAACCAGGGATAGAAACAAGAACAAGAGGTTAAAACACAGTTCTAAATGCCATGGTTAAAGAAGAACTCATAATACAAAACATTTTAAGAACCGAGTGATGACAATAAAAATACTACATATCAAAACTGATAGGATGGAAGTTAAGCAGGTCTTAGAGGTAAATGTACAGCTCTGTACAGCCTTAAATGTTTACACTAGAAAAGAATGAAAGTTGAATCCTTCAACTTCGCAAACTGGGAAAAAACAGAGTACCTCCTCTTCCAAAAATACAAGAGTACTTCAAAGTGTTTGTGAAAAATTTGAATTAAAAATTTATTTTGGTGCAAAAAGTTTGGAATTCCATGTATAATATTTTCATAGTATGCATTTATCATTCACTATTGAAGATTCCTATACATGAATTTCAAAATTTCTGCACCAAAATAAACTTATCTTTTAACTCCATTTTCCATAAACTTTCCGAAGTATCCTTGTAGATCATAATTTACAAATACTACATAATTTAAATATTAATATTATAAGGCTTTTAAGAATCTTGGTTCCATTTCTAATTTTTTCAAATATGATATATAGGAGCTGGAGCTGTGGCATTGCAGGTAAAGTTGCCACCTGCAGTGCCGGCATCCCATATGGGTGCTGGTACGAGTCCTGGCAGTTCCAACTCTGATCCAGTTCTCTGCTAATGTGCCTGGGAAAACAGAGGCAGATGGCCCAAGTGCTTGGACCCCTGCACCCACATGGGAGACCTGGAAGAAGCTCCTGGCTCTCATCTTTGGCCTGGCTTAGCCCTGGCCATTACAGCTGTTTGGGAAGTGAATCAGTAGACGGAAGAGAGCTCTCTCTCTCTGTCTCTCTCTCTTTGCCTCACTGTAACTCTGCCTTTCAAATGTGTGGGTGGGAGGGACGGTATGGGGGGGAAGCCATTGTAATCCATAAGTCGTACTTTGGAAATTTATATTCATTAAATAAAAGTTTAAAAAAAAAAAATTATCAACTCCCAACTTGACTCTCACTGGGATTAAACATGACAATAGGTCTGCTCTGATTTCATCATCATTTAAAAAAAAATCATCTATTATTTTTCACTTTATGTTTCTGTGTGGGAGCAAACTGTTGAAATCCATACTTGATGTATACTAAGCTGATCTTCTGTATATTAAGATAATAAAAAATGAATCTTGATGTGAATGGAAGGGGAGAGGGAGTGGGAAAGGGGAGGGTTGTGGGTGGGAGGGACGGTATGGGGGGGAAGCCATTGTAATCCATAAGTCGTACTTTGGAAATTTATATGCATTAAATAAAAGTTTAAAAAAAAATGTGTAATAAATATTTTAAAAATACACATGATATATGGAGAATTTATAAATTTTACATTTAAGTATAGAACAGTTATCATAACTATATATGATATAACATTATTCAGGAACCTCTACATTTCATATCCTTTCTTGCCAAAAGTAATCACGCAGAAAAGTAATAAGATTTGGAAAATATCCATCAGCAGGCTGGAAATACCCCATTAACTGTAATCTTTTCAGATTCTAGAAATGATGCTGGTAGCAAAAGAGAGACCCAGTGCTTCCCCGTCTCTCCTGAAACTCAACACGACAGATTGCTTTCCCAGATAAAAATATACTTCAGCTTTCAAAGCTGCAAGGACATTTTCTAAGAGATCTACTTTTTGAGCAGCAGTGTGATGCAATATGATGACACGTAAGTGGGAAATCTGGAGAACAGAGGATAAAATTCAATAGGGCTAAGTCCGGATAAGGCTTAAAAAATCAAGCTGCCCTGCCCTGGGGTGAAAATCCTCCCCAGGACTCTGCAACCTGTTTTCCTGCGCAGAGAAGCCCAGGCTGGCAGGGGGAGGCAGCCGCGGGCTGGGGCAGACTACCCATGAGCATCCACACAGTGGCAGTCCCAGCAGCCCTGAATTCCTCAGCCAGCCTGCCCTCTTACTTACTCTGGGGCACACTGCATAGGGGGAGAACAGGAAGGGCTGAGGCCTGTTTCCAGACAGCTACCCTTAACATAAGCATCGTGGCTTTGGAGGCCTTTGAACCCTGTGAGACTACTTCTAGGCTTTGATATTGGGGTGGGGCGGGGCGGGGCGGGGCGGGGGGAGCTCAGAGTTCAGGGAATCACCTTACCTTTAAATTCCATTTTTCATGAACTTTTTGAAGCTTCTCATATGATTCAAGAATCATAAAGAGCCAAAGGCATGTCTCAGCATTATGATTATGAGTGAGCAGACCTGCCAAACAGCACTTTTTTTTAAAAGATTTATTTATTTATTTGAGAGGCAGAATTACAGACAGTGAGAGGGAGGGAGGGAGGGAGAGGGAGGGGGGGAGGGAGGGAGGGGGGGGAGGGAGAGAGGGAGAGGGAGAGAGAGAGAGAGAGAGAGATCTTCCATCTGCTGGTTCACTCCCCAAAACAGCTGCAATGGCCAGAGCTTGGCCAATCCAAAGCCGGGAACCAGAAGCTTCTTCCAGGTCTCCCATGTGGGTGCAGGGGCCCAAGCACTTGGGTCATCTTCTGCTGCCTTCCCAGACCATTAGCAGAGAGCTTGATCAGAAGAGGAACAGTTGGGACACGAACCGACGGCCACATGGGATGTCGACGCTGCAGGTGGAGGCTTAACCTACTACGCCACAGTGCCAGCCCCCAAGCATCACCTTTGAAAGACGCTAAGATCTGGGTCTTGAAACTGCAGATAGACACTGACCTGGAACCAACCACTGGGGATTGGTTCTAGCACCCCCACAGGAACCAAAGCCCCTAGATGCTCACATAACATGGTACAGAACCTACATACAACCTGTGCACTCTGAATCAGCTCTAGGCTTCTGATAGTACCCAGAACAGCGCAAATGCCATGGAAACAGCTGTTACACTATATTGTTTGGGGAAGAATGACAAGGAAAAAAGTCCGCATGGCTCTATACAGCTGTGTTTCCCCCAGGGGATATTTTCAATCTGCAGTTGGCTGAACCCCCAGATGTGGGCCCCAAGGATAAGGGCTGACTATAATGCAGCTGGTGATACGCAGGCAGGTGCAAGCCCAGGAATCAGTAGGCGTCACCTAGAGCCAGAGCCAGTAACGGGGCCGAGGGACCACCTTCCCTGGGTTGTCCATGGGGGCTCCACTACTCCCTCACTGGCCTGAGAAGTAACCACGTATGAAGTCCTATTTGTTTTACTTCCCCACTTTTTCCTTTCTCCACCTCACTGTCATTATTATTTCATATTTAGACATCTTCAATGGCTTTCTGAACTGTGAAATGGGTCAGGTATGCAAAAAGGTATAGATCGTGCTAAAAAGCACCCAGGTCGCCATCTCCAGCTTAAGACTATGGGGATTTCTACCTGATCTCCTTGCAGCCACTTTGCTTTTTGGAATCTATTCTCTACAAACAAAGCAACCTTCAAAATCATGTCAGATCATTACATGCACATGTGCATACTTGCACACGTGGGCATGTATGCATGTGGGCACATGTGTAGTATACATGTGTGCACGTGTAATTTGGGGAAGGGGGTGTGTTGCGTTACATCCCAGTGCAGAAGGATCTCTAGGATCACATGCCCTGGGCCTCTGACACTACTCTCTCTTGTCTTTGCGAGGTGGTGATTTTGGAACCTCTTTTGAATCCTCTTCAGAAATTATTTGCCTCCAGACAGCACGGGGTTTCATTCGCCCCCTCAACCATGCAGAAGCATTCATGTGTCAGGCCTTATCTTGTGCAAGAAGTTTGAGGTTATCCGACGGGCAGCGGAGGACAAGTCCGCCTACCTGGTTTACTAAAACCAGCTGCTCCACCGAGCTGTGACAGGAAAACACTGCTAAGTCTTTCATGTTTGCAAACTCAGACTAGAGGTTGGGGTATTACTGATTTACCCCCTTAAATGTCCACACAGACCATGCAACTCCTCTGCTTATTCTAGATTTCCATGGCCTTTCACTATGCTTAGAATAACTTCAAAGTCACTCCAGTCGGCCTGGCCCTGCCAGCCTCCCGAGCCTCAGGGCCAGCTCTGCCTCCTGCACACCTTAGCTCCTGACTGATGCCGGCTCCCCACCACCAGGCTGCTCCTTGTACCTGAGTGGTGGTCTCCACCCCCAGCCTCACTTGCCCTGGCTAACCGCCTCTCACTTTTCCATTGTCAGCTTAACCACCTGCTCTGGGTGGCGCCTTCCTTGACTTTCCAGACTAGACCAGATCTCTGATAAGTTCTGACATCACCCACTCCTCTCCCCTACAGCAATGCAACCACATGGAATGATCACACTTTCTGGATTCCATGACATGCCTTGTTCTCACTGTATTATTTTGAGAATTAGGATGAATATTTAAACATATTATAATATATGGCATTTTAAATGGAAGATTTTCTTTTTCTTTCCTTTCCCCAAGGATACACCTATAATTAACTGATGGTGCATCTTAAAACTGTTGTTCATCTCCTAAACCATGATCAATTTTTTTTTATTTATTCATTTGCCATGCAGAGAGAGGGAGGGAAGAACACCTACCCTACGGTTCAACCCCCAAATGCCTACAACAGCCAGGGCTGAGCTGGGGCCAGGGCCAGAAATGGGGGCTGAGAACTCAGTCTAGTTATCCTGTGGCAGGATCTCCATCACATCACCGCCCAGGATCTGCTTCTGCAGGAAGCTGCAGCCAGGACTCAAACCAGGCACTCCAGTGTGGGATGTGGGCAGCCCAACCACCAGGCTAAACATCTGCTCCCACAATTAATCTTAAGGTTATGATAAGAGATCAGGAGTGAGTGTTGTGGTGTAGCATGTTAAGACACCCCTTGGGGCCAGCACTGCAGCTCAACAGGCTAATCCTCCACCTAGCGGCGCTGGCACACCAGGTTCTAGTCCCGGTTGGGGCGCCGGATTCTGTCCCGGTTGCCCCTCTTCCAGGCCAGCTCTCTGCTGTGGCCTGGGAAGGCAGTGGAGGATGGCCCAAGTGCTTGGGCCCTGCACCCCATGGGAGACCAGGAGAAGCACCTGGCTCCTGCCTTCAGATTAGCGCAGCGCACCAACCGTGGCGGCCATTGGAGGGTGAACCAACGGCAAAAGGAAGACCTTTCTCTCTGTCTCTCTCTCTCACTATCCACTCTTATCCACTCTGCCTGTCTTAAAAAAAAAAAAAAAAAAAAAGGACACCCCTTGGAATATCTGCATCTGTATCCCATACTGGAGTGCTGGTTTGAGTCTTGGCTATTCCATTTCCAATCCAGCTCCCTACTAATGTGCCTGGCAAGCAGATGATGGCTCAAGTACCTGAGTTCCTGTCACCAACATGGAGACTCTGATGGAGTTCCTGGCTCCTGGCTTTAGCCTGATCCAGCTCAGGCTGTTGTGGTCATTTGAAGAGTGACCTAGCAGATGGAAGATCTCTTTGTCCTTCTGTACCTCCTGGGCAAACCAAGAGCTACCTGGGAAGCAGTTCTACCACAAAGATTGAACTGGGATCTGGAATCCCATGCAGCTCTACACCAACTTCCACTTTACAGGACATGCAGGCGGAGAGACACACACATTCAATGACAACTACAAACCCAAACTACAAAATCCAGATATGAGAAACCCAAAAGAAAAAAATATATAGTTTCCTCAACAAACTCTAAGGAAAAAAGAGAGGTGGGGCAAGGACAACTAATCAGGAGAGATTTAGCAGATCCATTCAATACAAGTGTGGGCCTCGCCTGGCTCCTACTTTGAATAAATCAGCTGTTAAAAATACTTACCAGGTAACTACGGAAATGTGAGTATTGACTCCATGCTGTTAATTGTGAACTGGTTACAGTGAAAAACAAGTCCACATATTTTAAGTCGTAAAGTCTAAGAACTGCTTCAAAATAATCCAGGTCATGGAGAGTGGAGAATGAAGTAAGATAGTAGGGATATGTTAATAATTGATGCTGGGTACATGGGCCCTATAGATTCTCTCTACTCTTGTGCATGTTTAGAATTTTCCACAGCAAAATTAAGAAAAAAGTTTTGAAGTGGTCTTTGGGTTTAACAGGCCACAACGAAATTCTTAGCTGGCCTTCTCACAGCCTCTAAGCACCAAGAGGACAGAGAGGGAGTGTGTCCATCCATTCCCAACTACCACCAGCAGGCTGTCTGTCAAACAGGGACAGCTGAGACCCAGCTTACTACAGAAGGAGAAGCAGGAAGAGGAAGAGGAAGAGAAGAGGGAGGAGGGGAGGAGGGGGAGAAGGAAGAGGAGGGGGAGAAGAGGGACGGGGGGGGGGAAGAGGAGGAGGAAAAGAAGAAGGAGGAGGAGAAGGCAGCTGCTTCAGACAGCCCATCTTACAAACGAAGTGTACTTTCAAAGCTTGTCTGAGGCTTGGAGCACATATTTCTGACCCAAATCCATATTTTAAAGCTTTCCAGGTAAACCTCTAATAATATTTCATTGTCTCCCCAGTCTGATCTATAACATTAGCTCTAAAGGAGAAAGGGGGTGCAAGTTCCAGGACCAGCTGCAGGCAGGGACTAGGCCATGAATGAAGTAGGCTGGGAAGGGGTGGCAGCCAGTGGGGAGGAACTCCGAGAATCAGGGCACTGCAGGCCCCCTGTGCTGGATGAAGCAACTACTCCTTAACAAACCCAACGACACCAAAGGCGTTTCTCTAGTCTTCAGTGAACGCCCAGGAGCCCCAGAACTGTGAAAGGTTACTTTAAGGAAGTAAAAAGTGATTAAGGATGGAGAAGCCATAACTGTAGAAGCTGCAAATAGCTTAAGGTCTGTTTGGCTTGGCAAGAAACAACTGGCCAATAGTTGACGACTAGATTGTAAACACCAGCTTCAGCTGTTCTGTAGTTTTGACATCTGGTTGTCCCTGTGATGTCAAATCCCCAAGGAAGCTGGATGTAGGGAGCAATGTTTAATTCAACCTCCTCCCTCCGGCTGTGAGAAATGGCTCAGCAGAGACACAGCAGCACATCCACCTGCCGCTTGTCCTACGTGAGAACACAGCCGCTCCTGTTCAATGACCCAAGAAAGCCGTCTGAGAAAATATGAGATTTGGGGTAACGTTGTCCCAGCTTCTACTGCAGAGGCATCACAGCACTTCTTATTGCACTGTATACTGGAAGCACGGTCCACACGAGAAACAGCTGTGGAAGGCGGAGAGATCCAGCGGCTTGTACTTTGACCAGGATACTGACTGTCTTAAGTTTGTCTTTCTTGCCCTGTAAGATCTGAACACCTGACATGCATGCGCGAGGCTTATGTGGACTAGACACAGAGTGCCCCACAGTGCCTGGCATAGCAGACAACCCACAGTCAGCCCCTGCAATTGTTCTCACTGCTGCCATGGGTTCTTTATCATCAGCACCACAAGCTGGGAAGACCCCTCTGCCACTCTCTCCTTCAGAGTGAGACATCCGAAGGCAGACTTTTCTCCTGGTCATTTATCATTCTCAGCATTCTTACTGTTGCTTTAAGTGTGTCCCTTTAAAAAGCTAAAGATAGGGGTCAGCACTGTGGCACAGCAGATAAAGCCGCCACCTGCAACTTCGGAATCCTGTATAGGTGAGGTAATGGTTCAAGTCCCTGCTGCTCCACTTCTAATCCAGCTCCCTGCTAATGTGCCTGGGAAAGTAGCAGAGGACGGTCCAAGTTCTTGGGCCCCTGCCACCCACATGGGAGACCTGGATGGAGTTACTGGCTCCTGGCTTTGGCCTGGATCAGCCCTGGCCATTGAGGCCATTTGGAGAGTGAACCAGCAAATGGACTCTCTCTCCCCTCCCTGTGTCTCTCCCCCTCCCTTTCACTCTGCATTTCAAATAAATAATAAATCTTAACTAATAAACCAAAACTCTGAGCTACAGAGTCTGGAGAGCTTCTGGTTGGCAAAGAAATCCAGATGCAGGGAGGGTGTTGCACCCCAAATGCACAGGGACAGAAGCTCCTGCATCTGGGTCCCTTCCAGCCTCATTCCATGTACCTGTTCACCTGGCTGCTCATCTGTGTCCTTGGTCATACCCTTTCCAATAAACCCACAAATGTGAGCATCTCCCTGGGTTCTGTGAGCTGTTGTAGCAGGAAGAGTATTGTGGGAAGCCCATTTGTACCTTGTTGACAGGAAGCATAAGTGACACGCTGGACTTGTGATTGGACTTGTGAATGGTGTCTTGTGGGACTGTGAAACCTGACGTTACCTCCAGGCAGTGAGTATGAGCCCTGAAGGGACTGAAAGGGCACCCAGCTGTTGTCGGGAGTGCTGGAAAACGGTGGGGAAGAACCCACATGAAGAACCCGCTCGCCTGGTCACAGAAGTGCTCACTGTCTTTATCTTACTACAAAGGGAACAGGGGAGCGAGTAGTTTGTCCAAAGTCTTACAGCCAACACCTGCTGGGGAGACAGAACCCAGGCCCCAAGCTGTGCACAGTGTCCCTCCTCATCCTCACACACCCGTTCACTCATGAGAGGACAGAATCTCTTTGCCTGCGTCATGTGTGCAAAACCCTACAATTCAACACCTGCCCAGAGACCTGGCGCTCAGCTAACTCCATGGGAAATACGGCAAAAGAACATGAAAAACCTGACGTGTACAACCTCCCACGCCCACGGCCTGTCACCAAGCACCTACCATGATATCTGCTTCCCTGGTGGCGTAGCGAAGGTTTGGATCCAGCCAGTACATGAGGGACTTCACCTGCTCGAAATTCAGGAAGAGCAGGAACACCAGGAACAGGAAGTAGAGCACACTGAGCCCTGAGTGAGACAAACACAGGTTCAAGGCAGGGACAGAGCCAACTGTCAGACACACAGCCCCTGGTAGAGGCAAACAGCTTATTACAAAAACCAGACACAAATAGTGTCACATAGCCTGTTGAGACCTCTGTGGCAGCTGTTTTGGATGAGGGAGCCTGAACTATGGTCCTAATTCAGTAAGGCTGCCTGGGACCGGAAACATGGGCGAGGCACGGGGCATGCAGATAGGGACAGAGCAGGTAGCACTAAAGTGACAGGTAGGGCTTGCAGGCCACAATAAGGATTTCAGATGCTATCTTAAATGAGGAAATAAGATATTCCACATAATATTTTATGAAGCCAACTGAGTAAACTCACAGTAGACAAGGCTGGGTGTAGACCACCCAGTCTAGAGGCTGCCTTTGTACTTCTGCTGGGAAGTGTGAGGGGGCCTGGGGGCCTGTACTCCATAGTAGCCCTCGCAGCATTATTTTAATTGCTATCCTAACAATTACTCCATGTCATGTAAAAATAGAGAAATTAACAATGCACTCCATGAAGAAAAAAGCTTGCGCACTACATTCAGAAAGATTGGAAATCCAATCACCAGGGGCTTTGCCATTTCTTTTTGTTGAACATCTTACAATGAGAATGATTACATAAGACATCTGGACACTAGGAAACAAATGACCTTGAACCACAGCACCCCATCCAAACTTGGCTCAGCACTAATCTTCAGGAGCCACTCCAGAGCAGAGTACATCCGGGCCTGGAACCAGTCCACTGCGAGCAGCATAGCACCAGGCCTTCCAGCTGGGCCTCTCGCAGTGCCCGGGGAGCTCGGGCAAGGCCCAGCAGAGGGGTGCCTGACCCAAGCCGAGCACCTCAGGGCCCAGGGAATGCAGTTTTAGGCACGTTGGTATTTGCAGTTATGCAATCGACCAGCTTTATAAATTTTCACCTTAGATGTCATCCACTATGGCTTTTATTGTTTTTAAATTATGATCTTTTTGAAATAATGGAGATAGAGAGCAAGTGTCTCTGGCACAGGGGTTCTGAAGTGGAGTCCCCATTGAGCTCTGAGGTCTGTGAAGCCCTGAAGAACACGTGCAGAATGGTGCGTGTGAGAGAACACCTGTGTGTATCGGGAAGGATTATCAGAAAGCTCTCAGGTAAGAAATCAAACTGCTCAGCAGATACAATAGATCGCTCAAAATAGAGAAAAACAAAAACAAAAACAAAACCCTCAGATGTTCCTAACCGGCTGAAGGTAACTTAGAACTTTAGGCAGCAAGATCAAGGCCATGGGATACAGTCTGCACAGCCGGGAATTGCTTATTACAAATGCCAGTGTGATCCTGTCACTCCTTCTGGAAAACCACTCCACAATAAGGACTTCCCACTGCCCTTCACGCCCAAGCTCCCAGCAGCCCTGTGTGGCCATCTGGGCCTCACTCAGACCTCCTCTTCTCCTTTTCCCAGGGTCCACTGCACTTGGGCCCCACTGGCCTAGAAGGCGGAGTTCTTTTGAGCTGTGGGGCCGTGTGAGCAGGGGTCCCGGAATGCTCCCAGCCAGGGCCCTGCAGGCATGCTTCCCTCCTGGTGTGCTAGCTTCAGACTGAGTGTCACTCTCTTCAGGCCTCGCCTCGCCACTCAAACTCCCACCCTGTCACTGTACTCCCCTGGTTCCAACTCGCTAGCCACGCCTGGCGTGACAGCTGGAGTGTTCCGATTAGTGATCTGTTTCATCATTTGTTTGCCACACTGTCTTCCCTCCCCGACTGGAAGGGTGGCTCCAGAGAGTGGGCTCCAGCATCCCCTGCCCCCAGTTCATGGCCTCAGGGTTCCAAGCAGCCAATGCCACAGCTGAGTAGCCCCTGAGCAAAAAGCTCACCAACAGAGAGATAAAAGAGTTACCTATGATCTCTGAAGGCTGAAAGAATAATTGGTAACTTTCAGCAAATATCAATTTTTAGAGTTCTTTCACATGTTTACATAAGATTACATCAATACATTTACTTACATTTACTTACATGTCTTTTTTTTTTTTTTTTTAAGGCACAATGAAGCCAGTATCCAAAGTTTTAAAGATTGATTTTAAGCCCATTGAGGCAGCTTGGCTATTTGGACTACAAAATCAGGTAAAACTCAGATACTCAATATTCACGTTTATCAATAACTGTGGGTCAGATTAGGGCTCCTGGGCAGAAGGCTTCTCCCTTTTCCATGTTGCTTCCCACTCATGACACTGGCAAAATGAAATGCTGGGCTTCTATTCCCTCCTGGATGCTGACCAAACGTGCTGAGGACGCACATGGGCTTGTACTAGCAAAGGGACATGAAGGTGCATAAAGGGAAAGAAGTGCCGTGTGCTGGGGTCAGATCCTCTGCACACAAAGAACAACGGCACTGGGAGGGCGGGGCGGGGGGGCAAGGAGAGGGTGCAGAGGAAACAGTGAAACGGTTCACAGGTATGAGAATTTAAGTCATGGCCAATGTTTTATTTTCAGTCTGAGGATTTTAATAGATGTATGTTGGGGATCCCCAAAAGGAAAAAGCTATCAAGTTTTAACTGTAGAGTGGAAAACAAAACTGCACCAATGATACACAGGAAGATGGATTTTTAAGAGGCAGACTATACTTTTACGTCTACTGGAAACTCACCAAAAACCATTCGCCATAAGGCTGGATGGGGCCGAGTAAATGGACCTGCAGACAGAAAATATTACACAGTTAGAACAAGCTGAAAGAGCTGGCTTCAAACAGAGCCGAGACGATAGCTCAAGAGAGCACTGCTGATCTATACACAGATAACAAGGAAGAGCTGCCTCTTTTTTGGCTACATAAATGCTTGATGCTAAAGACTAGGTGGAAATGTTTTAACCGCATTGTAAATAAAGACTGTCCCCATAACCATCACTCTGCACAATACAGATTTTTTTTTTAAAGCTCTGTCTTTAGAAGTCAGAACATAATTTGCCAGGGAAACAATGTTGCAATGGTGAGTGGGCCACCAGGCCTGCTTTGGACAACACAGATCATAGCTGCCCCAGGGACAGTGGACAGCTCAGTGGGAGAGGGAGAAGGAGAGAGACACTGAGAATGAAAGAGAAGGGAGAAACACTGACTGAACACCAAAATGGAAACTTGTTGAAGTGAAAGGGACACTATGGGAAACGGTGACTTGATCAGCATAGCCCTGACTGTTAATGAACAACTTAATACATTATCCCTCTTAGTAGTTTTTTTGTCTGTTCTACTTAATATGACTGATTCAATTCTGTAATTAATACACAGTTATTCTTAAGTGTTGAAATTTAACTGAAATGTGATCCCTGTTTAACATAAGAGTGGGAATAAGAGAGGGAAGAGATGTATATTTTGGGACATGCTCAAGCTGACTTGCCCCAAATGGTAGAGTTAGAAACATACCAGGGGACTCCAATTTAATCCCATCAAGGTGGCATGTACCAATGCCATCTCACTAGTCCAAGTGATCAATTTCAGTTCGCAATTGATCATAATGAAAGGACTAAGAGTCAAAGGGAGCACATAAGCAAGTCTAGTACCTGCTAACACTAACCGATAGAATAAATAAAGGGGAGAGTGATCCAACATGGGAAGTGAGATACTCAGCAGACTCATAGAATGGCAGATGTCCTAAACAGCACTCTGGCCTCAGAATCAGCCCTAAAGGCATTCGGATCTGGCTGAAAAGCCCATGAGAGTATTTCAGGCATGGAAAGCCAAGACACTCTGGCAAAAGATCTCTGTGAGTGAGATCTCAGTGGAAAGAACAGGTCTTCAAAGAAGGAGCTACCTTTCTCTGAAGGGAGGAGAGAACCTCCACTTTGACTATGACCTTGTCTAAACAAGATAAGAGTCGGAGAACTCAAGGGGCTTCCATAGCCTTGGAAACTCATGACTGGAGCATAGGGAGATTACTGATGCCATAGACAGGAGTGTCAATTGGTAAAGTCAACAACAGGAGTCACTGTGCACTTACTCCTCATGTAGGATCTCTGTCCTTAATGTGCTGTGCATTGAGATTTAATGCTATAATGAGTACTCAAATAATATATTTCACTTTGTGTTTCTATGGGGGTGCAAACTGTTGAAATCTTTACTTAATGCATACTAAACTGATCCTCTGTAAAAAAAAAAAAAAAAAAAAAAAAAAAAAAAGAAAAGAAAAGAAAAGAAACTATCAACTCCCAACTTGACTCTCACTGGGATTAAACATGACAATAGGTCTGATCGGATTTCATCATCATTAAAAAAAATCATCTATTATTTTTCACTTTATGTCTCTGTGTGTGAGCAAACTGTTGAAATCCTTACTTAATGTATACTAAGCTGATCTTCTGTATATTAAGATAATCGAAAATGAATCTTGATGTGAATGGAAGGGGAGAGGGAGTGGGAAAGGGGAGGGTTGTGGGTGGGACGGTATGGGGGGGAAGCCATAGTAATCCATTATTCGTACTTTGGAAACGTATATTCATTAAATAAAAGTTGAAAAAAAAAAAAATAAAACTATAATTTAGGAAAGCAAGTAGGGTGGGCAGTGAGCAGGAAACCCTATGAGCAATGGAACACGCTAGTGCATGGCTTCTGACCATGGCTGTGGCAGCACAGTACCTTTTACATGGCAAGCCCGTACAGATAAGGGAGCAGGTTACACACCACTGAAGCAAAGGTTTCCCAGGTCAAAACTTAACTGTGACTACAACTGATACACCAACGTTTTCTCTTCTGTGCCATTAAAAAGAAGGGGAAGGCAAGCTCGGCCTTGTATCTACGGAACTGATTTACCAGTAACTGGAGTTCCAGATGTAAATATGGAACCCACAGCTGGAGGGTGCACCTGTCCTGTCTGGGGCTGCACGTACCTTTTGAACTGCAATTCCTACATATGGGGAAGTTCCATCATTAGCAGTCTCATACTGCTAGGACATGATGCCAGATTTTGTTTCCCAGTCTCCTCTATAGGTAGGGCTTGGTCTTCACTTGTCCCTGCACCATCCTTGACCCCTTGAATGAGTGACAGCAGATAGACATCTACAGGGCTCCTCCTTCTCTCTCTGCACCCCACCTCCATCTCTGAGTGCCTCACTCCCCACTCTGCCTCTCAACTGACCAGCAGGGCCGATTGGGGGCTCAGTGGTAGAAATCCTCAAACTAAGGTGGCACCAACGTGGTGGCAGTGGCTGTTCCATTAGAGTCCTGGCAGAAGTGACAGTGGGGCAGAGTACGGCCAGTGCTGGTTGGAGTTTCCTGTTAGACTACTCTGAGGTGGTGTCTATCCTTAAGCACAGCCTGGGGCCTAGAGTCCAAGCCCTTCTTTGAGTCCCAGGAGCCAGTCTCCCTCCTCCTTTAACAGGTTCTTTAAGGAGCAGTTGGTTTCTGTGGCCTGTAACCTTGAATCTTGTCCGAGGCAAACATTACATTGTAAATCTTATTCTGGAATTCATTCTAAAATTGTCTCTTTTTTTTTTTTTTTTAAGATTTAGTTATTTATTTGAAAGGCAGAGTTACAGAGAGAGAGAGGGAGAGCCAGAGAGACAGAGAGAGCAATCTTCCATTCACGGGTTCATTCCACAAATAGCTGCAACATCCAGGGCTGGGCCAAAGCCAGGAGTTCCATCCAAGTCTCCCATGTGAGTGCAGGGGCCCAAGTACTTGGGCCATCTTCCAATGCTTTCCCAGGCACATTAACAGAGAGTTATATTGGAAGTGGAGCAACCAGGATTTGAACTGGTGCCCATATGGGATGCCGGCACTGTAGACAGCGGCTTAACCTGCACACGAGATGGGCCCCCTATGTGTTCTTATAAAGACTACAAACATATTTTAGGGGCAGGTGTGAGACTTACAAGTTAGATGCCTCTGTCCTGTAGTAGAGTGCTCAAGTCCAAGCTCCACTTCCTGATTCCAGCTTACTGCTAATGTATACCCTGGGAAAAGCAGGCGAAGTACTTGGGTCCCTGTCACCCACACGGGAGACCTAAATTGTGTTCCTGGCTCCCAGGTTCAGGTTTGGCCCAGCCCTGACCATTGTAGGCATTTGCAGAGTGAACCAGAGAAGGGCAACTCCCTGTCTCTCTGCTGCTTCTCAAATAAATTAAGATTCTTAAAACAAAAACAAAAACATATTTTAACTACTTTCTTTTGACCAAATTCACAATACAGGGTGGTCACAGTAGTACAGCAGGATAAGCCACTGCTCAGGGTATCTGCCTGCCACACTGCAGTGCTCGCGATCATGTCCCACCTCTGCTTCCAATCCAGCTTCCTGGGGGGCAGCAGATGATGGGTCAAATACTTGAGTTCCAGGTACCCATGTAGGAGACCTGGATGGAGTTCCTGGCTCATAGCTTTAGCCTGGCCCAGCCCCAGCTGTTGGAGGCATTTAGGGAGAGAAACAGGAGATGGCAATTCTCTCTCTCACCCTCTCTATCACTCTGCCTTTCAAATAAAGAACTACAACTGGAACACAACACAAATTCTATACTATGACTCTCCTATATTATGACAAGTTTCACCGCCCCCACCCACCATCCAAACACATTCAGTTCCTGAGTTTAGACAGCGACATCCCCCACGGGGAGCTCGGTTCATGAGATTCTCCTTTACCCAAATGCACCTGGTTCTGAAGCTCTGGGATGCAGAAAGTGAACACTCAAATGGCAAGGAACTGATCAACAAGCACAGCCAAATCTGGGCGACTTCTGAGTTCCGACGGTGAGGGTTTGGACAGGAAGGAATGCCTATTTCCCCCTTCAACCAGCTGGGTCTTTCTCTGAAAGTCTATAAACCAGAATCCCCTTCCCCATACTGACATGGCTACTGCTCATCAAAAGTCATTGGGAAACTGAGGGCTGACATTGTGCCATCTCTTAAGTGATCTTCCTTACTGGGGTTAGGCAATGGCTCCCTCCGCCCTTTTTTTTAAATAAAGATTTATTTATTCGAAAGGCAGGGTGACGAAGTCAGAGGGAGAGACAGAGAAAAAGATATGTTCCATCCACTGGTTCACTCTGCAAATGGCTGCTGCAACAACCAGGGCTGGGCCAGGCTGAAGCCAACAGCCAGGAACTCTAACAGGGTCTCCTTGTTGGGGGCAGGGGCCCAAGCACTTGGGTCATCTTCTGCTGTTTTCCTGGGTGCATTAGCAGGGAGCTGGATCAGACGTGGAGCGGCTGGGACTCTGACCGCAGCTCCAAGATGGGATGCGGAGGCAGCTTAAGCCTCTGCACCCCAACGTCTGCCCTAGGGGATGTTTCTTGGTTTGTTGCCATGAATGATTTCTGAACTATGTCTGGCTTGCGAATATTACTTCAGTGCCATTAAATTGACCTCTCATAACATGGGATCCTGGCACTCTCTGAGGATTTCATCTTTTTTTCTAAAAAAGATTTATTTTCTTATTTGAAAGTCAGAGTTAAACAGAGAGAGAAAGAGAGGCAGAGAGAGAGAGGTCTTCCATCTGCTGGTTCACTCCCCAATTGGTCGCCATGGCCAGAGCTGCGTTGATCTGAAGCCAGGACCCAGGAGCTTCTTCTTGGTCTCCCACATGGCTGTAGGAGCCCAAGGACTTGGGCCATCTTCTATTGCTTTCCCAGGCCATAGCAGAGAGCTGTATCTGAAGTGAAGCAGCTGGGACTCGAACCGGTACCCATATAGGATGCTGGCACTGCAGGCAGTGG